CCGCTCGGATCCACCGCTGGCTGAAACTCCTTGAACTTCAGCAGCTGCACCATCTCACTCTTCAGCTCGTTAGCCAAACACTCAACGCTGGGACTCGGCGCCATGGCGGAGCGATGTGAAAAAAAAGCGAAGCAATCACAGGTCATGGCGGAGCTTCTCTGAGCCACAGGTGCCACAGTCTGAGAAGCCGGGCGCACATGACCTGCGAATTCCTTTTCTAGTTGTACAAGTTCGTCAACAAAAAACATTAAGTCCAGTTGGGATCAGGTCAATCTACCCAATACCTGACCAATTGCATGGTAATGCAATAATCACGAGCCAATCTCTTGGTTTTGAAAGGATCTTAGCAATACCCCACATTGTTTCTGCCTATAAACATGTCGACGCACGTTTGTATCGTGTACACAGTGTAGCTGATATACACATGCAATATGCATGTGTGTATCTGCAAATATATATATATATTCATATCATGTTTGAAATATCATATATATATATACATACAATACAATACGTTACAATACAATACAATACAACATAATACAATATAATATAACATAATACTATATTATATCATATAATATTAAATAATATAATATAATATAATATAATGTAATATAATATAATTTAATATACTATAATATAATATAATATACTATAATATAATATAATATGATATAATATGATATAATATAATATGATATAATACGATATAGTATAATATAATATAATATGATATAATGTAATGTAATATAATATAATGTAATATAATATAATGTAATATAATATACATACATACATACCATACATACCATACATACCATACATACCATACATACCATACATACATACATACATACATACATACATACATACATTACATTACATTACATTAAATCACATACATACATACATACATACATACATACCAATACATACATACATACCAATACATACATACATACCATTACATACATACATACCATTACATACATACATACCATTACATACCATTACATACATACATACATACATACATTACATAACATACATACATACATACATTACATTACATTACATTACATTAAATTACATACATACATACATACATTACATACATTACATACATTACATACATTACATACATTACATACATTACATACATTACATACATTACATACATACATTACATACATACATTACATACATACATACATACATACATCCATACATCCATGCATCCATGCATACATACATACATTACATACATTACATACATTACATACATTACATACATTACATTAAATCACATACATACATACATAACATTAATTACATACATACATACATACATACAATTACATACATACATACATACATACATACATACATACTTACATTACATTACATTACATTACATTACATTACATACATACATACATTCAATACATACATACATTCAATACATACATACATACATTCAATACATACATTCATTCAATAAATACATACATTCAATACATACATACATAACATAACATAACATTACATTTCATTACATAACATTACATAACATTACATAACATTACATAACATAACATTACATAACATTACATACATACATTACATACATTACATATATAACATTACATATATAACATTAATTACATACATACATACATAACATAACATAACATAACATAACATTACATTACATTACATACATACATTACATACATTACATACATTACATACATTACATACATTACATACATACATACATACATACATTACATACATACATACATACATTACATACATACATACATACATACATACATACATTACATACATTACATACATTACATACATACATACATACATACATACATACATACATACATTACATACATACATACATTACATACATACATACATACATACATACATACATACATACATACATACATTACATACATACATACATACATACATACATACAGACATACAGACATACAGACATACAGACATACAGACATACAGACATACAGGTATACAGACATACAGACATACAGACATACAGACATACATACATACATACATTCCATACATACATACATTCCATACATGCATACATACATTACATACATACATTACATACATACATTACATACATTACATACATACATTACATACATTACATATATAACATTAATTACATACATACATACATAACATAACATAACATAACATAACATAACATTACATTACATAACATTACATACATACATTACATACATACATACATACATACATACATACATACAAACATACATACATACATACATACATACATTACATACATTACATACATTACATACATACATACATACATACATACATACATACTAACATACTAACATACATACATACATCCATCCATCCATCCATCCATACATACATACATACATAGATACATACATAGATACATACATAGATACATACATAGATAGATAGATACATTACATACATACATACATACATACATACATACATACATACATACATACATACATACATACATACATACATTACATACATACATACATACATAGATACATACATACATACATAGATAGATAGATACAGACATACATACATACATACATTACATACATACATACATACATGATCATACATGTACAGTATATATATAAGTATATATACCTATAGATTTGTTCCATGTCGTGGCATTTCTCTTCTTACAATACGGCCGTGTCTAAGTGTATCTGTATCTGTATCTTTAGCTGTATCTATATCTCTACTTACCTATCTAGTCTAACATGATCTGATCTTTTCTTATCTTATATTATCAATCCATCCATATCCCAGTATATCTCAGTATATCCCCATTTCATCTCAACTATGGTTGGTTTGATCCCCATTTTTGTGTTGATGTTCTTGGTCAAATCCCATTGAATCTCCATCTGATTTTAATATCTTAGCGCCTCTTCTTGATTACATTAGATTACACAAGATTAGATTAGATTAGATCAGATTTAGATTTAGGTTTAGGTTTTGGTGTAGGTTTAGATCAGATTTAGTCAGACAGATACTGTACATATATATATGTATATATATGTATATATATGTACCATGACTATATCCCAATAAATATGCCCATAAGACGCTTGGTGAATACCCCTCAATTTCTTCGCGAAAAAAACGTCACTTTCGAGCCCACCGCTCGGATCCACCGCTGGCTGAAACTCCTTGAACTTCAGCAGCTGCACCATCTCACTCTTCAGCTCGTTAGCCAAACACTCAACGCTGGGACTCGGCGCCATGGCGGAGCGATGTGAAAAAAAAGCGAAGCAATCACAGGTCATGGCGGAGCTTCTCTGAGCCACAGGTGCCACAGTCTGAGAAGCCGGGCGCACATGACCTGCGAATTCCTTTTCTAGTTGTACAAGTTCGTCAACAAAAAACATTAAGTCCAGTTGGGATCAGGTCAATCTATCCAATACCTGACCAATTGCATGGTAATGCAATAATCACGAGCCAATCTCTTGGTTTTGAAAGGATCTTAGCAATACCCCACATTGTTTCTGCCTATAAACATGTCGACGCACGTTTGTATCGTGTACACAGTGTAGCTGATATACACATGCAATATGCATGTGTGTATCTGCAAATATATATATATATATATATTCATATCATGTTTGAAATATCATATATATATATATACATACAATACAATACGTTACAATACAATACAATACAACATAATACAATATAATATAACATAATACTATATTATATCATATAATATTATATTATGTAATATTAAATAATATAATATAATATAATATAATGTAATATAATATAATTTAATATACTATAATATAATATACTATGATATAATATAATATGATATAATATGATATAATATAATATGATATAATATGATATAGTATAATATAATATAATATAATATGATATAATGTAATGTAATATAATATAATGTAATATAATATAATGTAATATAATATAACATAATATAATATAGTATAATATAATATAATAACATAATATAATATAATATAATATATACGCATTATGTCATGATCGCTCACAACAGTCAACTGAGTCTCAACAGCAGTATCTTTTCTAGAACAATTTGCAGAATGGACCTCATCAGAACTTGCTTCATCTGCTCAGCATGGTCCTGTGTTCCGGATATATAGTGTTGTATAATGTTATATAGCCATGTCACCATGGTACCATGGTCAAGTAGGTTATATATAACAGGGAGTATATAATGTTATATAATGGTCACTGGGAGTATATAATGTTATATAATGTTATATACTCCCAGTGGTTGAATTTCTAGGTGGACCCTTGATCAACCAGCCTTGCGTCCAGGATCAACCAATTCGTTAGCAGGGAAGCAGAGTGGCAACTGTCACTGTTTCAGCCATGTCAAACTCGCTACCCTTTGGTAATTTATTATATCATAATTTTGTTATAGCTATCTAAAATCAGCATGTATTATAGGTAAGTCATCTATTTATATGCGCTATTTCAATGGGAGAAATTACCAAAGGGTGCAGACATCTCGATTTTTACTGACCGACTAGAGTTTGAAAACGACGAGAGGACACAGTGCCCTCCCACTGCCAAACCTTGAAAAAAACAATGCTGAAAGGGCAGTGAAATACTGGGGAAACATCTATGACACATGGCTTGCAAGAAATTCCTGGAGATCCGGTTTTCGCGGTTTAGCGGTGGCGAAATCTGTAGTACAGAGGCACTGTCTTCTGCTCGTAAACATAATAAACAGACGGCATCATGATACTATGACGCCAGGTGCAGAACGAGGTTCTGCCAAAAGATTCAAAACTCCAACCTATCCAACTGATGTGTCCCTTGACTCTCAAAACACCCATCAATATCAGTCAAAGTACTCAAGTTGACTCAAGTTTGCAGTGTTTTTGGCCAAAATCAACGAATTTTCATAGGCGTTTACTGAGCGTCCAAGGTTCAGATATTCAAACCACCACATCCGTTGCTATGGAGGGACCATTGATGTATTTCACATTCAGCAGATCGATCTTCCCGTTGAACCTCGAACTCATTGAGTCTCATCCCGGGCCCACGGAGCCATATAAATTACCCTCTGGTAAACTAACATAGCTATTGAAAATGGCCATTTATAGTGGATTTACCCATCAAAAATGGTGATTTTCCATAGCTATGTTAGTTTACCAGAGGGTATCTACCAAAAAGAATAGATAGTCCTTAAAGTATATTTGGGATCATACCTGAGATACTGTGGGAATATAATTTTTGATAAAATGATATAATGTGATTTAAATTCTGATGAATGAGAACTTCGAAAATTAACCACGTGATCCCTAAAAATTATGATGTTCCTCATAATGCCGCAAATTAACCTCCCAAAACAAACAATCACTGCCATCACAGAGAATACTCTGTAAACACAAAAAATCGGACAAAAAAAAAAATATTGCAATAGCCTAGCCCCCCAAATATGTAAATACATACATATATAATATATACGTAGATTCCATTGAAATTCCCCAAGTGATTGCAACAGCACAAACTAATAAAAATTACATGGTTGGCTAGTCTTTACAATTTTACAAACATTAATGTGAATCACAAAAAAAATTGGGTATAAAAACTCTTCCCAAAAATTACCGAAGACAACCTGGTGGCTACAAGGCCAATGAACTTCCCGACCTGGGAAACTGCCCTCAATATATTCCCTTAAAAATACCCAACAAAAATACCCACAAAAATAAGTAGATAAAATTCAAATACGTAAGACAAGATAACGGGTATTTTGTCAGAACTAGCCATGATGGGTATCTTCCAGCCATTTGTTGATGATGACTTAGCCATGTCATCAAGCCATGGCTGGAAAAAGTCCACGGATTTTCCACTTCCAACGACCATCTGGGGTAAAACGAGACAGAAAAGTTCTCAAAATCTAGAACCATGGTCATCAAAAACGATGATTTTGCCAGCTAAAAACCACCGTTTTCGGAAAAATGTCCTCAACATCCGGAAACAAGAAAAAAGATAGTCCAACCCTGTAAACAAAATGCGATTCATGGGGAATCGATTATCGTTTTGATACAAAAATAACCTATAATTATAGTTAATCCCTAAAACAATCCAAAAAACAAAAAATTGGTCCCTTCATCGATTCCCCGTTTCTGGCGGATGTTTCAAATGTTTTCAAACATGGCAACAGAAACCATCGACCATTAAATTGCCATTGCAGTTTCTGAAACAATCGCCATGTACCAGTGGAAATTGAATCAGCATATTGAACCACCCATTTTCAAGAAATGTACCAGTTAGATATGGCATAAATAAGCAGTTATCACCATTAAATCGCTATGTCTTGCTGGCTATTTTTTGCAATCCTTGTACCCATCAACTATAGTTATAAGTTGGTCTAAAACTGTCGTTTTCCCATTAAAAAAAACTCCTCAACATTAAAAAAAAATAAGGATAGTTCTGGTTATGGGATATGCCCTTAATTAATGGGATATTCCCATAGTGAATAATGTTATCCTCGTTATATTCCCTGAATCGATTCTCCAGTTCTGGTGGATTTCAGTTCAACACCCCCAGTTCTTCAGTTTCCCATGAAAAATCACGGACCAAAAAGAACCCAACTTTCGTATACGATGATCTTCAACATGTTGTTATAATATATTATAAGTTAAACAAACCCAAACACGTAGTTACTATAGTTGTTCTTAAGTTGAAGAAACCCATAACTCAACCATAGGTATATAATTATATAACCATTTATAGAAACTTATATAACCATTATATAATTTTATTAGTTACTCACCTTTATTAAACCACTATATTTCTTTTTGTCCAACAACCCCCAGTTCCCCCGTTACGGCGTAACCGCCACCGCGTCACTTGAAGGGCGCCCGGTCAGCGTAGTTCAACGACACGGGGGCGCCCAGGTCCATGCCCACGTCGAAGGTCTCCGAGGCATCGAAGACTAAGCGGATGGATTTCTCCACCTGCCCGGGGCTCGTTGAAAGGGGCTGTGAAACACGGAAAATGGTGAGTTTATGGTGGTTGAACTAGGCATAAAATGGATGTTTCATGGTGATGTTACGGTGATTTTATGGGGATTCTAAGGAGTTGATCCGAAGAGGTGGTTCTAAGGGTCAAACATCACTTTGTGAAACTGGTGATAAAATTTCACCAGCAAACATCATGGAAAATGGTGATTTAATGGGATTAATGGCATTTAATTGAAATTAAGTATGGAAAATGATGAGTCAATCGATGAAAAATTATGAGTTGAATGAGATTTAACTAAGAAATAACTCAGTTTAAAATTATAAAAAAATACGCCACAGAATGCAGGCCATTATGATCTATAGGTGATGTTGTTTGGCTGAATAATCTCATTAGATCCCCCATTATCGTTCATGAAATCGCATTTTTCATCACCATGATATTGTTAGATAAGTGAGTATTTGTGAACCATGGGAACTTGTAAATGTACAAATCCCCTTATTTGTGTTTCCAAATTTCTCCATAAATTACCTTTGTTGGTTAGTGGTTTCAACCCTTCTGAAAAATATGAGTTTGTCAGTTGGGATGATGACATTCCCAATATCATGGAAAAATCATCCATTCATGTTCCAAACATTTCCAAACCACCAAGCAGATCATTATTCACCATTATTCATACTTAATTTTGACAGCCATCATTATCATCCACTAATGATCATTAATGATGCTTATAAAATCCACTATTTCTATGGTGTACCATTTGTTGGTTGGTTGCACCGCTTGGTGAGTGAAATCCCTTGAACGGTGCCTTGACCCATCCCACATTGGCTCCGTCCACGAAGAGGGTCAAATCGGCCGGTGGGTAGAGCCTTGGGTCTCTGGCTCTCCTCGTATGACATATTACATATATATATATATGACAGTGTATATATATATATACATACATACATATATCATGGATGTCGTCTATAAATATTTTAAGTGCAATCTGGTGCAACCATCTGGTATATGCTTAAAAAAAACTGTATAAACATGTTTGAAACTGGGTGAAGCATTGTGATGGGCTGCATCCCGATGTCTCTTGGTTAGCTGTGCTTGGGAACCATTACATAATATCTGTGTATATGATTAGCCTGTGAGATTCAAGTCAAACCGCTAGCACAAACTGTACATACAAACGGTGCCTTCTCGGTAAGTGGCTTAGTTCACCCTGTGGAGTAACCCTTCTGTGGAATAAATTAACAGTTTGCGAACTGGAAAATGATCCTTTTAGTTCGATGATTTACCGAAAATGGTGATTTTCTATAGCAAACTATTAGTTTACCAGCTAATAAAATAACTAATACACTAACTATAGAACAGAAATACCACAGTACCTAAAATATGTATATGGATGTACCATTTGGTTATTTAACAGTTCGCCATGGAAAGATCCACCCATTTTTCAGTTCGGTAAACCATCTATTTCTATGGGCCATCTATACCATGGCTATGTTAGTCATAACCAGAGGGATATCCCACTAATATTCCCATGATTTTCCCATATAAAACCATATAAAACCTCCATTTCTAACGGATAAACCTCCATTTCCGTATATGGTGATTTTCGGTCGAAAATGGGGTGAACTAATCCACTAACCAAGGGCCGCGACCCAAGAAGAGCACTGCTGTCAACTCTCTGCGGCTGGGAAAATCTGTTGGGCTTGGAAACATGTAACAAGTTCACCATGCTGAGTTCACCTCCATAAGTTGGTTAGTTGTATATAAGATAGCATTCAGTTGGTGAACATAACTCCAATAACTATGATTTATGGTATTTATAACTATAGTTAATGGGGTGTATAAACCAACTTATAACTTGGGGGCCCCACATTGTATATATATATATATATATACGGTAACTACATTTAAATATACGGTAACTATATTTAATGTACGAAAAAACAAAAAAAAAACAACAGGTATTTCAGACATATTTAAATATCTAAATGTCGTTACCTATCTATACCAACTATATATATATACCCTCTAACATAACTATGGAAAATCACCATGTTTAATGGGAAATCTATGATTTCTATGGAACCCTAACCCTACCGTTTAATTTGACATCTATCTCCGCTGAGTTCACGGTCAAAAAGTGGCGAGTTAAACAAAAACACCTCTGCAGCTATTGGATCTTCCCATGAGTCATGGAGGTGTCCGAAAATCATCTACAATGTGGGGCCCCCAAGATAGCTAAGTTGGTTTATAACTCCAATAACTATGGTTTATGGTACTTATAACTATAGTTAATGGGGTTTATAAGCCAACTTATAACTGGGGGGGCCCCACATTGTAAAATATGGGATTCCCCCAGTCATCATCCAGCCATTAGATGGGGATTTTCCCATGGAAATCGTCACCATCCAGCGATAGATGGGTACCCTCTGGTAAACTAACATAGCTATGGAAAACAACTATTGTTTATGGGTAAATCCACTATAAATGGCCATTCTCAATAGCTTTTTGTATGTTTACCAGCGAGTAATCCCATGATGGAAACCCATGATGTGTCCCCATGGCGCCAAGATACGACTCGCTTTTGGGATAGATCAACCGCACCTGGCGTTGCTGGCAACGCCGCGGGCGAGTTGCTGAAGAGCAAACGAACCAGGCTTGTGAAAATGGTGACTGAAACAAAGAAAAATCAGGCTATGAAGCAAGAAAATGTTGATTCTAAGTGATTAAGACAACTTCATCGAACTTGAAAAAATGTGGATTGAGCCAAGAAAAACCGGTGTTTTACTCATCAAAACTCTGGAGTTGGCCATCAAACATAGGGCCAAGAAAATGGGATAGGTCACAACCGGATTCTCCAGAGGTTGGGTCCTCCAAGTTGCACTGGCTGATACCTTCTCCCCATCAGATTTTGAAGTCTCAAAGAGAACTGAAATGGGTATGGCTCAATACCTATAGATACCATTTTTAGTGGGATGAACATCCATTTACCAGCTATTTTGATGTGAACTACAGGGGTACAAGGTTTTGACCCATAGCCAAATCTACCTCCCTTCATCAAAAGTGGCAATGAAACCTCCAAAAAACCTCCATTTACGAGGCATTTCCCATTGGCACGTTTACCGCAGGGTATCCCCTGCCTCATTAGATCTGGAAATCAAAGATTGATACCCAAGCCCTTTATCGAGCCCAGCTTCGGAAGTAAGTCAGAAATGAATCAGCCAGGAGTTAAACATGGAATGCTGTACCACTGCTGGCTTCACTTATTCTCCACACTCATAAACGTAGCTAGTCATGTGGCAAACCTTACATGGGTGTTTGTACGACCCATCCCAAATGGTAGGTATTTGAGTGACATGGGGTGAATGCCAATGTCAAAAGCTAAGGGATCAAAAGTGATACCCTCCAGCAATTCAACAGTTTGCGAACTGGAAACTAACCCATTTGATGAATCCTGTCCCCCCATGAAAAAGCCTGAAACATAGTGATTTTTCTAAGGATTCATGAACCATAAATGATACCCTCTGGTAAACGTTTACAAAAAACTATGGAACATCACCATTTTTAATGGGTAAATCCACTATTTCAATGGCAATTTTCAATAGCTATGTTAAATTACCAGAGGGTACCATCAAAATTAAATATGGACCACCCTACACAAAGCCATCTTTTTTTTCCTTGGAACAGCACAAAAATTTTCCGCCATCTCGGAGACCTGGATCTTGTGTTTTCCGGCGGCCACTGGCTGGGAGGACTTGGCAATGTAGCGGTACCTAGGAGCGACAGCGACACTGGGGCAATTTTGAGGTTTTTAGCCGAGAAAAATGGGATTGAGACATCAAAAACATCAACAATCGTGTGTGTTTGAAGCCACAAAGATAGATTCCAAGAACATGTTGGAGTCTACTCAGTTCCACAACTCAAAAATCATCAGAAAATATGGGTGTTTTTTGGGCCTCATTTCAGTTCCCAAGTTGGTGTCGCCAAAGCACAACAGCGTGGCCATATACTCGGCATAGAGATAGCCCTTGTCGAAATACACCGAGAAACCTGCCGATGGTCCCGCCGGGTCCCATGGCCCCCATGGCTCACAGAAAAAAATCACCCAGTTTCTTGGTCAAATCCCGTTGAATCAGATTTCTTGTTGGGTAAATCCCATTGAATCACAAGTTTAGTTCTTTTAAATCTCCTTAAATCATCATTTTTTGGTTGGTTGAATCCTGTTAAATCCCAAGAAAATGCCTGCAGCTGTCCCGCCCACGCAGAAGACCACACCGCTGGCGAGCTCGGGTAAGTCCACATCAATGGTGGATAGGGAACTCCTTGGGTCAAGGAGACTGAGGCTTCAAACTGTGATTTGGAAGGGATTTAACCTACAAAAAAGGTGATTTAATGGGATTTAACCAACAAAAACGATGATTTCATGGAATTTAACCAACAAAATTGGTGATCTATTGTGTTTTAATGAGGATTCGATAGGGTCACCCTGAACAAGCCCAAATTTTGGGGAGCCAGGTCACCGGTTAGGGCCCATTGGTTTGGGAAGCTTAGAAGCACCTATATTGTGTATGTGTGTATTTTATATATATACATTAATTGTATATACATTATATTATATATATTATACATTATATTATATATATACACACTGACATATACTTGGTGAATCTTGGGGATACAACTACGGTACGAGCCTCGCCCCGTGGGATCTGGGGCCCCAAGTGGGTTATTTTGGAACTGCACCTCGGGGGTTTCCATAGTCATGGTGCCCAATAGCTGGATGGTGACTATTTCCATGGGAAAATCCCAATCTAATAGCTGGATGATTTTTTTCGGGTACCCCATGACTTAGGAAACCTCCAAATCGGGATTTTGACCAGAAAGATTCTGTTTGGTCCCATGAAGCTCCAGGTGTCGATGCAAAAGTTGGTCAAATCTGATTCCTGGCGATAAATTGAACCTTTTCTATATCTGTTTGGGGATTACTATAGTCAATATCTGCTTCCAACATTTCTGAAAAAACTGGATGGTTTACTCCAGCCAATGACCACATGTGATTCCCAAAAAACTAAATGTTTTGCTCAAAAAAATGGCCGGTCCATCTGTGGTTTTGCGAGTGTTAAATCATCGTCCATTCAAATTCCCATGGTGGATCATCCCTACCCGCGGCAAAACAAGCACAGATTTTGGCAGGATAGTGTACCTTTCTTGGTAAAATTAGGTCAACTATCACCTCATGAAAACCTATCATTTTTGCCTTTTGCACAATCGGTTGTGTCATCCAATTGGCTTGATTAACAGTTGATGAGGGAGGTCCAAAAGAGCGCATTCCCAAAAAAACAAATGGCTTGCAAAACTCAAAGGGTCTCATTTCGGATGGGGGTGCCCCCTATGCTAAGAAAACCTAAAAACTTGATCAACTGATGGCTTTATTCATCGGTGGATCTTCTCAGCTCGGTACCGAGCTTCTGCCTGCTGTGAAAGCCAGGTGCATTGGATTCCGCGATTCCTAAGGCCGACGAAACGAAGACTTCAAATCCAAACATCCGAGGTGAAAGGCGATGTGTGGTGGGAAGTGGTTGGGAATGTGTGTATATATATATATAGACATTATCTATACATTATAATGATATTGATATATATATATATATGGTTACCGTATTTATTTCATAAGTGTGTATCATGGAATCGTGAGCCATCAGACACGGCAAATCCGTTGCGGGAAACCAGGTTGGAAGACCGCAAAATTTACCATGGGTTTTTAATGGGAAAAAACACCAAGAAAAATGGTGATTTACTGGGAAAATGATGGCTTTATACTTGGGAAAAACCATCAAAAACATGGAGGAAAATGGTGGCTTTTCCAGCGAAAAAGCCATGTTTGATGACACCCACTGGGATGGGATGACTCAGCAGAAATGGCAACAACCTACCCGATTTTTCATGGCTACAATTCATGGCGGCAAAAGAACTCATAAATGGTTGGGGTTGGCGAATCTTTCCCACACAAGTGCCTAGTTTACTATGGCTGAGAATTGATTTTGTTTAACCCAAAAAAAAAACGGCTAAAAAAATGATAGACAGGCAATTCCCAAGTCATGTCCGACCACTTTACTTGAATCCTTCAAGCGTCGTGTCATGCCCTCATGGAGGTTCCACTCAGTCAAAGGAGAGTGTGGACCTTCCTCCGGATGGTAGTAGATGGTGTATAAGCCAGCACCAATGGGCATCACCTGGAGCACTGAAGATTTGAGACTTGGATCAATGGGAAAGACTCAGGATCCGATTGATTGGAGGTACCGATTCCATATATGTTTGGCCTATTTTTTAGGCCTATGTAAGTGAATATCACCACAAAATATGGCCAAAAATATGGTACTAACGTACCTCCATTTTAGGATCCAGTTTCATTCCCATTGATTGGAAACTGGTCTTGGAAATGTCCAGATATTTGCGTGAAGCTCTTCAAAAGTTGCTGCCACTTGGGATGAAAAAAATGAGAGAATCCAAGCTGGTCCTGTTATTCCCACGAATCGTACCTGGTTACAGGATGGTGCCCCCCAGTGATGAGTGTTTGTTGGTTTAGATTCACCCCATGAAAACTATATAGTTACAAGTATAGTTAACCATTAACCATATATGGATATTTATGGATATAAACTATATAGATATATCACCTATAAGCCCATTAAACCCCATTAACTATAGTTACAAGTTGCTACACAAGTATCATAAGCCGTAGTTATTGGAATTTATGTTCACCAACTTAGCGTTTTCGTCAACCGGGGCCCAAAAAAATGATAGATCATTTTCCAAGTAAACCCTCCCATTTTGATCGGGGATAAAAGTTGGTAGAACGGCTATTATGTTAACCAACTTAGCTATCCATACTTAGTTTATTTTATAAACCCTCCATAGTATGGATAGCTATATTTTTTGGGGATAGTACTTAGCTATCCTTGGCGTATTTTATCCGATAAATGGCGCCCAAATAGTTTATCTTATAAACCCATTGACTATAGATGATTAACTATATGATTAACCGTTATTAACCATTCTTAACCAATCCTTATTAGTAGTAGCTATTTACGCCATGGGATAAACCACGAGTCTCGCAGACTTCCTTTCCGTGGGACGATTTTTCCAATTTCTACATTTTTTGGGCCCCCCCAGTGATGGGAACGGTGGTTTATAAACACCAGGAATAGTATAGTTATAAGTTCTAAGTATCATAAACCATAGTGAAATTGGAGTTATTTGCATCAACTGGATCCAATTGATGGAGGTACTGACTTAATACCATATTTTTGACCATATGAATTGTGATATTCCCTGAAATTTAGGCCTCAAAAATAGGCCTTATATATGGTAGGTACCTCCAATCAATCGGTTCCTGAAATGGCCATTGCCAACAGTAAGTAAGTATAGTTATAAGTACCATAAACATCCATAAACCATAGTTATTGGAGTTTAAAACTGACTTAGCTATCGTCAACGGGGGCCCCACGTTGTAGATGAATTGTGACATGCTTCAGATTTTTTCTCAATTTCAACTCATTGAACTCAGTACTTGGCGGTGAAGCAGCCAGAACTCCTGGAATCGTGGGTTAGTTCATCCGAACTAACGATGCATTGCCCCCATTTACCCTATCTATAAATAGGATGAACCCCCCTACGACTCCTGGGGTGAACCACCAGAGTTCAAATCGCTGATCTGTGGGTTCAAAACCAGAGAACCAGAGCGGTCAAGACTCAGAGATGTCTGAGACTAAACCATCCAAGAGACAACTTTCAAACAAAATGTGCAGCATACTTAACACAGCTCAATCGTAAACCTTCTACATGTCTTTAGCATTCTTGACTGCTAAAATGATAAACCTTGGATCGGTTGGAAAGTAAATCCCAAAATTGGTAGACAAGTAATTTACTGTGCCACTATTTTAGTGTAGGATTTTACTTTCATAGGTCCTAAATAATTGTTGGGGAAATTCTACACGGTTCCATTTAAATCTTGAGAACCATGTTTGTTCCATGAAAAAACCTCCATGGCTAGTTCGGGGATTTCCCAGCCATGGCCATGATGACCCGGAGTGTAAACTATCTAAATTCCATGAGATGCCCGGCCCTTGGTCATCTAAATCTCATTGATTCATCTGGAAAATCACCATTTCTGTTGGTTAAATCCATGCATTCCCGTGTGGATTGCCCCAACATCGCAACACATCTTTGAGGCTCGCAGTGCACCTTGTTTTGAGTTGCTTCCATCGTGAAGATCTCCTTCGTCTCTGGTGGAGTTCGAAGTTGGTGAGTTGGATTTCGTCATGAACGATGAAAGTCGGGAAAGAAACATGAAAATGAAATATCATGTCTTCCAGTTCTCAAGTTACTCAAAAGCCAAAGTTTTGGAATCAAACATATCTCCCTTTGTATCAGTCAAGTTCGAAAAAGGGCCGCTTCCAATGTGTGGCATTTGGGGTACAGCCCAGGTGGCCTGTACTTCCACGAAAAAAAACCTCCAGGTTTGAGGTGAACTCCCCAAATGTTGTTCCTGGTGTGACCAAAATGGTTAAAAAAAAACGATTTCCTCAGTTTTCCCATCATTTGGGTATGGATCAATACCTATACATACCATTTTTAGGGGGATGACCATCCATTTACCAGCTATTTTGATGTTCACCAGGGGTACAAGGTTTTGACACACTGCCATTTCTGGCAAAGTGTTGAATTGTTGTTTCCCCAGTCATAGTTGATGCTGGCTATATCTTGGCAATGCCCTAAACTTCTATTGGCAGGGATCATGATAAACTGCATCATTTCGGGGTTCCAAATTTTGAGACCCCCATTTTATGCTGGTGCCGTGAAATCTTTGTAAAATCTGCGATGGAAATCGCTTCATATCCGATCCCTTCCCCCTACAATGTGGGCCCCCCAGTGATGTTAGTTGGTTTATAAACCCCATGAATACTATAGTTATTTGCGTACCATAAACCATAGTGAAATTGGAGTTATGTGGCCCCCAACTTAGCGTTTTCGTCAACGGGGGGCCCCACTTTGTAATATATGGGATGTCATCCTTCCCATTAATCAATATTGACTATAGATGATTAATCGTTATTAACCAATATTAACCATTAATAACCAATCCTAAGCGAAACCATGGTTTTCTCTTGGGAATTTCCGCATTCCATTGGGAACGGTTGGTTGCCTTCATCTTGGCGACCTTCTCAGGCATCTGAGATGCCAAGTCCTGACCGGGAAAATGGCACCCTCTAAACATACCAAAAAGCTATTGAAAATGGCAATTTATCGTTGAATTACTCATTGTTACCCATAAAAAATGTCGTGATTTTCCATAGTTATGTGAGTTTACCGGATGGTAGATCTTGGTTTTTGTTGGCTTTCATGGCAAAATTAGGGGATTTACCCTCTGGTAATTTGTTACATAGCTATGGAAAATAACCGTTTGTAGTTGAATTACCCATTGAAAAAGATGAATTTCCATAGTGGTCTGCCAGAGGGTAATATTGTGTATTGCCAATGTAATAGTAATATGATATCCAATGGTAATGTCCACAATATTCTACTATTGGAATACCATTTATACTATGGACTCTATTGGATAATACTGTGTATTGCCATTGTGCATTACCATTGCGTAATTATACTCAAGTCCATAGTATATACATACTCAATACCACAATATGATGGTAATACCACGGACTATACTACGGACAACAGTGTGTATATACAGATATCTAGTTATATAGGAAATTACTGTTCTTTTTTAGGACTTTTCTTGACTTGGCTATATCATAGTTTGTTTAGATATGTTATATATGAATTGATGTCAGTAACTACTATTGGACCAGCAATAAATGTAGTATTGGATAAGTAATGTAATGACAATTGGATGACTATTGCTATAACTAGTGGTAAATGTGATGCAATAGTAAATCGTACGATATCCTCTATGGATATGTAATTACTACTGGATATACAAATCCATTTAATTGGATATTTAATAATATTCGACTGTATATATATATATATGAATCTAGGTATCGTCCATATCTTATAATATAGAATAAAAATGAAAGAATGTATGTACCTAGTATCATATCATGTATATATATATATATACGATCTAGTAATTCATACCCTTGTTTCATATTTGATATATGCATACATATATATATATATATACACATACAAGTATAACCATAGGTATGTTCCATATTTTCCACGTGTTAGTATTGTACTGGAAATACTGTAACCGAGTATTTATCTTATGAATATCCAATTTGATATGGCCATGTATATATTTGAGCACTTGAGTGTCGTAAATATCCGTGTAATATTTATAGATATGTGATATGATATGATATGATATGATATGATATGATATATGATATGATATGATATGATATGATATGATATATGATATGATATATGATATATGATATATGATATATGATATATGATATATGATATATGATATATGATATGATATGATATGATACATATATATATATATATACGTATATATATCCTGGAGTGGATTGAGTATGGAAATGTCCAAAAAAACCTCACTAAAATGGGAATAACTAAAATGGGAATATCATTGAAATTCCCATATTCTATCTACTTGGTGATGACCATGTATTGATAGATTGATAAAAGTTGGGGAAGTCGGTTGGCCTACTGATGATTGGGGTCAGAATAATAACAATAACTATAATTATCAAAAAAAACAATTACAAGAATGATGAGATTATACAGTGGGTCTGTCTGGAATTGTTGTGGGAACTATTTGTTTTTCCATTTTGGGAATTCAACAAAAATCATTCCCAAAAAAATCCTAGCCCTCCTTATTATATAATAGTGCATATACAGTCAATCCCATCCCCGTGTGTCAAGCTAAACCAGGACTGGAGAACTGTTTGTGAACACGTGGAACTGATTTGTTATATCGTTAACTCGTTGTCACATTTTTTGGGGTAAAGATGTTGGTTGTCACCTCAATATTTCGTAACTGTGCGGTTCAATCGTTGAAGCTTCCAGGTTTTTTTCACCTTGACCCGTATCCAACTCTGAATCTCAGTTCATCTCTGGTAATCAAACATGGCAATGAAGATCCACCAAATCTATAGATTATTTTCCCAAGAAAATCTCCACTGATTAAGTATCAGGGATTTCTTATGGTTTTCCTATGGTTTTCCTACGGTTTTCCTATGCCCCAAGGAATTTAGCCATGTTTGATGACCACAACACTCCACGACCTTGGCTTGAGAGAAGTCTTTGCTCAGATCATAGAGTTCCCAAACCTGGGCTGGGTCTATAGCAACCCTCAAAAGAGAGAAAAATATGGATTTATGACTACTAAAAAGTAGGAGTTCACATCACTCTATCCTGTTTTCGGGGTTTGAATAAATAAAGAAATCAATAAACAAATAAATAAATATATATATATATACATGTTATATATACATAGGATACCACTAACGCTGCCTGGGTCCCACACTGTGGGGACCCCAAGATAGCTAAGTCAATTTATAACTATAACAACTAGGATTTATAGGCAATTTATAGGGAATATATCTCGTAAACTAAGAGTTTGCTACGTAAAAACACCATCAATAAAAGTGATAGGCAAATAATATCACCTATTTCTGTGGTTCATGTTCAATAGCTACGTCCTGTTCGTTTACTGGAGGGTTGCTGGACCATGGCCTGTTGATAAATTGGTTGATCGGTTCATCCCCCATTTTCCAGGTTGGTCATGGTCATTCTCTCCCGATTGAATCACCACATTTCTTGGTTAAATCCCACTCCAATCCCATGAATTCCAGCATTGTGAGCGGTTTATAACTGGCTTGGTCCTCTTTGCCGGCTGGCTATCACTGGCTATCGGCCCAGTATGCCCAGTGACGTCTGTGTCGGGGTTCCACTCCTTCATGCGTGTCTCGTTGGTGGCTGCCCATGGAATACCTAGCAGTCGCTGCCCGAGGTGTGGTGTCGGGGGTGAGTCTCAGGTATCAACAACAATATCTGAGTGCATAAGAATATATGTTAGTCAAGTCTGATACATATACATACATATGTGTATACATATATATATATATATATGTATAGATAGATATGTATATATATATACATATATATATACACATATATATATATACATATATATATACACATATATATATATACATACATATATACATACATACATATATATATATATGCTATCTATATATAGTGACATATAATGTGTTAATGGCCAGGTATCTTTTTTGCATCTGTCAGTCTGGCCAAAGTGAGGACCTAATCCAAGTAATCCAAGTTTCCAGCTGTGGGAATGGGGTCATTTTTCAAAGGCGACGCAGTCTGATTTTCCCTTGCCACCTTTAATTCCTATGTCAGTATGGCGACTGGTACTGCACTGCTACTGCACTGGTGGTGCTTCGTACTATCCCGTCCCCCAGCAAACTGTAACCCTTGATAATCGTATGGAATCCATGGTTCTTTGGTAGCACCAAAATGGCTAAAAATTGACCAAAACCCAATGGCTTCTGACAATGAAAAGGGCCCTACGAAGTTGGGGCAAAACTGAGCCCTGGACCTGCTACCTGCACATCTACGACGCTTGGTTATTGTTATAAAATCAAATGATGGCACACAAATTTGGCAACAAATGTATCTATATATATATCATATCATATCATATCATATTATATCATATCCATATCGTATCGTACTATATCATATCATAGTTATCGTAAATGGTGTATATGGTGTATGTGGTGAATGGTGTATAGTATATGGTGTCTTGTGTATAGTATATTATATGGTGTATTGTGTAGAACGTATGCTGTATTGTGTACAGTATACGGTGTATATGAATATATAAATATAATATATATATATATACATATATATATATACGCCGTATAATATAGTAATTGTATGGTATGGATTAGCATGTTGTATTACATTTGTATCATATAATATCCATTGAATTACACTATACTTAGGAAAATGTTGGGCCTGCAAACACTGGAAAATCAAAAATAAGAAAAGGTTGTCATTTTGTTGACATTTTTTGGCATTCAAGTTTGTTTTTCCTTATTATTGTCATTTTGTTGTCATTTCTTTGTCATTTCCTTGTCATTTTGTTGTCATTTATTCTGGTTCCTGGTTGGGAAAATGCGAAAAAAAAAAACTATAAACATGATTCCCAATTTGGGAAATGCAAAAAAGAGTGCCATCAAGCACCGTTGATTGTATGGCCTCTTGACATGTAATGCTTTGCCCACACTTGAAGTACAATGTCTCTGTGAAGATGACGAAACCGTTGTGACTTGACACTCGTCAACCTATCACGAGTATATGATTGCCCGAAGGCGGTGAAGCAAACGCAACATCATCTTAGCAGAGGGGTTGGCGTGCCAAACCATACGCATTGCCCGCACGGTGTTGTTGGGCTATAACCCATTAAAAACGGTTGATTCTTGCTCGTAATATATCAAATGGTACCAAAAACATGCTATATATATATATATATCACATTATCTCCCACAAACTGTCATGAGATTTTGCTGCTTCAGGTTGCAAAATGTTGGCAAATCCCACAGAAAATCACCCAACTCACCATGCCTCACCCCCTTTTTTCTCCAAGCGACGTGGGCCTAGGACGCTTGCGAACCAGCCATCTTTGTAGATGCCGCGACTGCCCATGACTTCGAAGTACTGCGCACTTTTACGGTCCTGGGCAGCCAGGCTCACGTGGCCGGATTGTTGGCCATCGATTGGATAAAAAGATGAAGATGATGATTGTGCCTTGTTAGAAAAAAAAAAAACTCTAGTTGGGGAAAATAATGGGTATGACATTATTAGATATTTGTATGCAAAAAATCTGAGAGCCGCTTTTTAATGTGGCCATCGATGAGTGTTTTTGAGCCCTGTCTAAGGGCTCATAAAACGAAACTCATGTGACTTTTCGCCAGTTAAATCGCACCCCCTTCTTGAAGCTTCCGGCAGACGGCCTCAGCAGTGGCGTTGTTCCAAGTGTACCTCAGGCTGGAAGATCAACGAATGAAGGCCTCGAAAAAATGTGAGAAAAATTGGACCGTGAATGACTGCTTGGTGGTATACCTGCGCCTCCGGAAAAATCATGGAGTTCGTCAATGGGAGGGATGACACCCCATATATGAAATGGAAAATAAAATTATATAAAATTGATCTTTGAAACCAACCAGATGGTCCCATGATTCGGACCATCATGGGCTATTTTAATCAGTTTTAATTGGATGATCAACCACGATCAACCATGAAATGTTCATCGGGTTTTCCACTCAGATTTCCGACCATGCAAGCATGGTACAATGTGGGCCCCCCCAGTGATGTGAACGTTGGTTTTGATTCACCCCATGAATACTATGTTTATTTGCGTACCATAAATCATAGTTCTTGGAGTTATGTTCACCAACTGAACGCTATCTTGGGGGCCCCACATTGTAGATAAATCAGCTTTTTTTCAAAGTTTCTAACATCTTCTAGCCCCAACTCAGAAGAATCTGATGGCTATATATCTCACCACCCTTTTTTCGTTGATATCTCCAGCAGCTCCAACCAGCTCTTGGACTCAAATCTCCAGCTACATCGCCTGTGGGCCTGAAGAAAGACTACACAAGTCAGATTCCAGATGATCCCAGTTTCTTCTTACCCGACTCAACTTCAAATATATGCATATAACTATGTACGTACATATATACATATATATATATATATATGATCATACATATATATATATATGTATGATCATATATATATATATTGTATATATATATTATATATATATATGTCTATATATCCACATGTTTCATCATGTTTCAGCTTTCGCCAAGTCACACCATGGACACCCCATCCAAGGGCATCTGCTGCACCCCCTCCACGTGCTGTGGGAACTTGATCCCAATGGCCTCATAGACCGTGGGCGCCACATCAATGACGTGGTGGAACTGCGACCGTGGCGTCGGGTCGTGTTTGATGACCTGCCCAGGAGATGGCCACGGGGAACTCTGACGAGTTGACCTGGGGAACTCGGGGAAAATGATCGGATTCCGAAGGGGGATGAATCTGGAAGTTGGTAACCCTGGAAAATCTGCAAATTGAGTGATCTTTTCATGAGTCCAATAGGAATCTGGTTGGTGGTTGAGCCACCCCTCTGAATAATATTAGTCAGTTGGGATGATGACATTCCCAATGTATGAAAAAAAAATGTTCCAAACCACCAACCAGTAATCATTAATCCGATCCCAAGTTTGTAACTTCGAGATGAACTTCCAAACATCTCCGGAAATCCACTGTCAATTCAGAGCCCCACCTTTGGCCAAGACATGACCATGGGCGTGCGTGTGCCACCAAAGTGGGCCGCAACCAACTTAGTGCCTTGGCCAAGGGGATGCCAAGGGGGGAAGTTGCTGGAAATCTGATGGAAAGCTGGACAAATGACCCAAAAAAGAATTCAGATGTTGAAGCAAAATGGTGGATGAATGTATTCATAAAAAGATGACAATTGAAAAACACAAAATGTCAACATCAAATCCTCTGAAATCCCCTTTGTTGATGGTTAAAATCCAAGAAAAACCTATCGTTGATGGATAAATCCCATGAAATCCTATAAATCAAAAAAAAACTGAATCAGAAATAATCAGAACTTCATTTTATATGCCCTGCATCTTTCTCCAAGGTGCTCTTGAAAGGTGAGTCCAAAGCCCAAGCCCAGCTGCTGTGGTACATGTTATCCTCGGTCGGCTTGGAGGATCATATGTCACCCATTTATAAATGGGATAATTACCCCCACAAATCGGGGACTAACTCATGGCTTCAAATTAATTATCTTAAATCAAATCAAAACTTCTTGGGTGTCCCAATACTCCCTACTCCACTTATAATTTTTCACATGAGTCACCATTTCTAGTTACCATATTAGTTACCCTTAACTAACCATATCTTATAGTTACCATATTATATTAGTTACCTTACCATATTAGTTACCATATTAGTTAACTAACCATATCTAAAATCGGTATCGCTTTCCTGCGCTCAAATCTCTCGGCCGAGAAGCCACCACCTTGGAGCCCAAGGCGTCCAAACCGCCGAAGTCTCGATCCATCACCTTTCGCCACCCGGGTCGTCGGGGATCAGGATGTTTTCATGGGAAAATATGGCCATCGTTGCCTGTTAGTGGCTGAAAAACCTATGGTTTATGGTAGATATTTTGCAGATATAACATGAGATAACTATACTATTCATGGGGTTTATAGATGTTTATAGGTTTATAAAGCAACAAACATCATTGGGGGGCACCATCCTAAACATTTCATGGGGATTTCATAATAGGGATTTCAGGTAAACATTCGTGAATACCAGTACTAGATCTTGTATCCCATCATTCTCCATCCATTTCCCATGACGGATCCATGGTGCTGGTATATATACTGACATTGGGGGTATATTGATGGGATCCATGTTACCATAGAAAAAGCAGCACCATGGATCCATCATGGGTTTTTGTTGGTCCAATGATTTTCGAGCCAACTTGGTGAAACTTTTGGGCTCCAAATCCCATCACCACTCTGAGGCGATGTATTTTTGGGAGAAATGCCACCCATAAAGCCTACAGCTTTGGAATTCGATATCCCTTGATGGACAGATCACCATCATTCCTGGCGAAACTCTCCAAATCGCTAAAGAAATGACTGGTTTTTGGTTGGTCAAATCCCAAATCTCGCTGCTGCTGAAATCACCAAATCCTCCCATTTTTGCGTAAAACCCCCCATGTTTCCCACTTCAATCCTCATTTTCCATGGATTTTTCCATGGTTTTTCCCATCCCCCGTGGCATCCCCGTAGCATCCCCCCGTGGCACGCCTCGATCTGCTGCTGCGCCGTGTTGGGCAGCGAGTTCTCCGTCAGCAACTCGTCGATGGTGCCGTGGAAGCCTTCTGCAGAGGCGCCGTTGTCGCCCAGGATGTAGACCACCAAGGTGTTGTTGAACAAACCTCCAGGAGACCAATAGGGGGATACTTCGGCGATAAAGGCAAGGTGAGGGAGGCTGCATGATTAATGATGATATATATATATAAATATATATATATATGTATATGTTAGTTTTATAAATTTATATAGTTATATAGTTGTATACTCATATATAGTTATATATAGATATATATACGTATATGAGATATGAGTTCTATAGTTATACGTACAGTTATATCGCTACATCCTTATAGATGGGATCCTGGCCCATGTGGTACCCTCTGGTGATTTAGCCACAAAGGACGCTTTACTCACCAAATATGGTGGGTTTAATGGGATTGATACCCTCTGGTTATGTCAAAATAGCGAAAATGACCATAGAAATAGTGGATTTACCCATTGATAGCATGGTGATTGTCCATAGTTATGTCTAAACGTTTACCAGAGGGTATATTGAACCTTGATGAACAGCAATTAACTCACAAAATGTGAGGTTTTCGGCAAAACAGGGCCTTCAACTTTGATCATAATTATCTAGTAAAATATGCTGCTTGAAAAAAATAATGGTGCTGGAACCAGGTATCTTCTATGTCTCCAAAAAAAACAGGTCCTTGGCAAAACAACAACGAACCCGGTCCCCAGCGACAACATTTCGGGTTCGAAAAACTGCTGGGCCTTGTCGTTCTAACTCCTCGATGACTTTGCCGTCCTGGGTGTCGGTATGTTCCAGGTATCCCGCATAGACCTGCACATGATGCTGATTTGATGGGATAACCCACAAGAATGGTTGACGACCTAATGGGTTTTTAATAACAAACAAATGGTCATTGCTTGTATTTAACCAACAAAGTTATATTGATTTAATGATATATATATATAGTTGTTTGCGAAGAAAGTTCAAGCTGTATTAGCGGATGGTTGGCTCTTTACCTAAATATTTGGAGAGATTTCCTCTACCTTGAAAAAAACTGATTTACCTACCAAGTGTTTGTTCAAAGGAAACCATGGATACTTGCGAGCAAAATACATTCCTGCTTCCAGCATTGGAAAACTAACCACCAGTTACTTTGTGTTGCTCAACAAAAAGTCGGACGCATGTTTTGTTTCTGCATATCGTGCTCCGGGTCAACGACTGATACTGAAAAACAGGTACAACTGAAGCTGGTTGCGGAGAAATAAAAACGTACTGAGAATCTGTCGGTATGTGCATGTGTATACAATACAGATCTATGTCATCTGTGCATATATATATATATATCATCTGTATATATATATATACATATGTACACATCTTATGACGGAAAACTTGAAACCACGAGGTTAGCATCCTTAAAAACGCATCATCAACAAAACTGTTCTAACTATTTGCCTTCAAAGATACATCGCCAGTTTGTATTTGTCTTTAAACAGCATACCCCCGTTGAACCTTATTGATTTATCACTACTTTCCCCATGCAACACTAGCCATTTAGGGGTACCTCCTTTTTCAAACCCAAATATCATAGTGTTAGTGTTGGTTATATATCCCATCAAAGTCCAATCAATTCCCATCAAATCACAAATATCATCAAATCACGATAACTTTGTTGGTTTAATACCAACAATCACCATGTGTTTGCTATTAAAAACCCATTAGGTCGTCAACAATTCTTGTGGGTCAGAACCGACGCCATTCCTTTGTTGGTGAGTTGCACCTCCATCAAACGAAGTTGGAAGGCCTTTTCGTTCTCGGGAATCTCCTCCCACTTCTGCATGAACTCTTCTGAGCAGGGCAGTTGAGAATCACTAAAAGTCACTAAATGAAAGGTGGCATATCCATTCATAGTGATTAATAAATGTTAATAATGGCATATCCATTTAATTAATGTTAATAATTAAACATCACTGTATATAAATTATCCATAATTATCCATTATCAACAAATGGTTGAACCTTCTAACTATCAACCAACAAGAAATTTCAACACTGCTCGAGCCAACACGGCGCGCCTGTGTTCAAGGGTGTTTTTCTCGCTGGACCATGTCAGTATTGCGTTCATAAACATACATGGTGATGGATGCAAATTGACAGATAAGATTCGCGAAAAGCGAAGAAAACTCAGATAGATTTACCCGGCCTGGTAAACGTTTACATAACGAACTGGAAATTCACCATTGAAAAAATGGGTAAATCCACTATTTCGGGCCATTTTACAATAGCTATAACTTGACATAACCCGTAAGCAGAAAAGGTCGACGCCATCGAATTTAGGACACCACCCGAGTCTCAAACCCTGGGCATGTCCCAAGCAGATCTAGCAGATCTATGACCTCCAATGGGAATCGATGATTTTTGGTGCCCAAAAAAAAACAAAATGTGTTGGATTGAAAAAGGTGTAATTGCTCTTCTGTTGAGTCCTAGTTCATTGTCTCAAAAAAAGGCTGAGTAAATATTGTTGCATCCGGAAACTAGGCGTGCTTTTTTCAACTGTCAACGGTGCCATGAAGATAAAGGCATGTGGCAAACATCTCAACCCTGACAATGTTGAACCCAAACCCATTCAGATTAGATTTCTTGGTTTCCAAAAAGGTTAACGTGCCCAAATACATGGAAAATACAATTACCCTCTGGCAATTTAACAGTTTGCTATTGAAAATGGCCCATAGAAATAGTGGATTTATCCATTGATTAGCATGGTAATGTTCCGTATAGTTTTTTGTAAATGTTTACCAGAGGGTAAATCCCATTAAATCCCAGTAAGTCACCATTTTTCTTGGTGAAATCCCATTAAATCCCAGAAAATCACCATTTTTAATAGGTAAACCATCTATTTCAATGGGCCAAGGCTTCCATGGCTACATCGTATCGTCCAAAATCCTTCGGATTTGCCAGAATCCACAGAGGGCTTTTGCGCCCAAACTCAGTGATCTCTCAATATCCCAAAAAAGTGTCAGGGAAAACACAATCTTTCTCCGGACTTTCGGGATATATATATATATACCATACTATATATATATGTATATATATATATACCACATTATATATATATATATAGAGAGAGAGAGAGTGTATTATATCATGTATATGGATGTATATGTATATATGTATATTATCATTTATATATATATGATATATCATATTTATATAATATTTATCAAACAACAACAAGAAACAAATCTGGCTCCCAGCGGCCGATGGGCGGCAGTTCCGTGCTTGCTGGGATCCAACCCATGGCCTCGTTGGGCAAAAAATGGCTTTCGCCAAGGGAAAACGGCCGATTTTGTTGCACCATCCTGTAGGAAAATGCTGATTTTATGGAATTTAATGGTGATTTAATGGTGATTTAATGGGATTGAATGGGATTGAATGGGATTGAATGGGATTGAATGGCAAAAATCGTGATTTTCCATGAGATTTCATTGGATTTAATAGTATATGAGATTGAAATAAGCTTATCTGGGAACTTTCGGAAACGCTCCCATGGTTAGGTTGGTATCCATAACTACATCAACTAGGTGGATAGCTCAGTTGGTTTATAACTCCAAAAACTATGGTTTATGGTACTTATAACTATAGTTAATGGGGTTTATAAACCAACTTCTAACTGGAAGGGCACTACATTGGGGATGTCTTAAATCATCGGGGGTTCAAAGCCATGTTTAATGGGGAGACCAATGGTTTGGGGGTCCCCTTTTTAAAGAGACACACAATTTGGTAAGAATGATGCAATACTTTCCAACAGTAAAGATGTACTTACTTCTTGATTAAGACATATATATAGTTGATGGTTCTCAACCGTACCTGCCAACAATAAGAACAATGCCACCATATCGTCAGGATAATCAGTAACAATAAGTATACTATCAAATGTTTCCATATCTTTGGAACAGGCCTCAATGGTGTTTGGCCTTTCCTTGAACGCGGCTTCGTCCCACTTACCTTAAATGGTGAATTCGTTACCCATATTGACAAGTTTGCCCCCGTCATGGTAGCAACAACAATAACAATAGCAATGGATTGGTTTAAGGGAAAATTTACAGGAAACCATGGTTTTTACCATTAAATATAGGGTTTTCCTGTAAATTTTCCCCTAAACCAATCCGTTGACAATAGCAATAACATGCGATAAAATAGTGATGATGAATTCAAGATGTATGACAAAGACAATACTGTAACAACAATGATGACAATAGAAATATAAAATGATGATCATATATGCTATGCCCAAATGTAATTCTGATGATGGACGATCAACCATGATCAACATATATGTCATAACAATAAGTAACCATGAAAATGTAAGAAAATGTCATGATTATCCCTTTTTGCAACCCCCAGTCATAGATCTGGGTAAATTATAATAATTCACTAACCTGAATTAAGGCCATTTGGGGATGATTTCCCTTACTAACCATGATTCCAGTGAGGTCACAGTGAGGTCGTTATAATTTACCCAGATACTAGTAGATAGAACAATTGGAAACCTGGAAATTATGAACTAAAATGAACTAAATCTCATCTATAGCATCCTGGATTTCCGTCCTTTTGAAGATTGGAATATGTCATGATGGCCATTTCACATCCCACGGGCCACGGGCCACGGTGCCTTCTGTTTCTGGTAGGTGATGTTGCGGAGCTTCTCCCAACCTCCACTGGTGAGATTTAGGGAGGCAAGACCCGGGTTTTCACGTTACAATGTGGGGCCAAGCGTTATAAATTGGTCGTTTTAAACCCTATGAATACTATAGTTTTATAAAAATGTAATTTGCGTATCATAAACCATAGTGAAAGTGGAGTTACAAACCAACTGAACGCTATCTAGGGGGGTCCCACTTTGTATGGTGAAGTAATGGGGTTACAATGCGATAACCCATAAAGGTGGAGTCTGAAACCTGTGAAACATGTGAAACAAACATGTGAAACTTGACCACCAATGACACGGATCATAACTCCCTGTATTTGGAGTTTGTCTGAAAATTAGATACCCTCTGGTAAACGTTTACATAGCTATTGAAAAGCACCATGCTATCAATAGGTAAATCCACTATTGCTATGGCCATGTTCAATGTCGCAAAGTGTAAACGTTTACCAGCGGGTATACCAACAGTTATCTGCAAAAGGATGAAGGCGTGGATTCCCCATGTGGCATCCAATGCCAGGCATTGATCGCAGGGATGGATAACCAGACTCAGCCAGAAATGAGTGGCCTTTCACCCAAAAACTTAAAGAAGAAGCAAAGCCCAACAAAAGTGAAAATTGATGAATATGTCTTGGGTAAATCGTTTTTTCAATCTTCTCAACAACATTGGAAATAGAATGACCAACAATCATCGGAACCTTTGCAAAAAAAAAATAAGGTGTTCAACAGCCAGATTTTTTGTTTGGAATGCCGAAAACAATTTTTCAAATCACGATCGTAAGCAATGATGGGCAACAACCTCCCACAACTACCAACCTTAAGCACCACACGAAGCTTGCCAAGGGACCCATGTCGAATTTGCCTTTGTACTTGTCGGCCCATTCCCTTAGACGGTGCTGGATATCTCACTTACTCATTGTTAAGTTCCCAACAGGGAAGGATGTATTACCCTCTCGTAAACGTTTACATAACGAACTGGAAAATCACCATGCTATTAATGGCTAAATCAACATCATTTCTATGGCCATTTTCAATGTCGCAAACTGTAAAATTACCGGAGGGTACCGTTCCCTGGGATTGTTTCGTTCTCTCTTGGAACATACGTTGCTTTTCTTCGGAAGCCTTCTTCCCAGTTCGCGTTCGCAGACCCCGCAACGTGGAGACCGTGGAGACCCCCTACAGCTTGCCCATCGCGGGAAATGTCCTGTGATGAACACAAAAGAGAAACTCAAACATCACTCACATCGCCCCCAGTGATCACCTACTTCAACAGTACTTTCCCAATGAAGCCGTTTGGGGTTTCGGCATCCAGGGGTTGACCTTCCACCGGTGCCCTTTTTGCGTGGCCCAGGCGTCTTGTGCACGTGGTGGGGCCCATGAGTTCCGCCCGGCGCGAAATAGATGAAGAAGGGACGGTCCGGAGTCAACGCGCGGTTGCTGCGGATGAAATTGATGGCCTGGCCATGAAACCCTCTGGGAAACATACAAAAAACGATGGAAAATCACCATTTCAAATGGGAAAATCCACTGTAACGAACTGGAAAATCACCATTTTTTATGGGAAAATCCACTATTTCTATGGCCATTTTCAAAAGCAAACTGTTAGTTTACCAGAGGGTAAGGCCCCAAACAACAGGAGGGAACTAAGCCATGCGAAAATCAGAGGTGACCATGCTTGGGATGAAAAAATGTGGATGTGATGTAACTGATATAACATTGAAGAGTCACAAGTCAAGGGACCAAGGGACCCAAACTCACAGATCTTGGCCCCCATCCAATTTGAGGGTACTTGAAAATCTCACACAACCACCAGAGTCACCAGAATGCCAAAGGATGATTGGTTGACAATCACTGGCTCCCATCGTCGCATTTTTTTCCTGATCCCTAGTATGAAACCAGGGAAGTAGAACCCCATGGTAAATATCAAGAACTGGGGTTTGGAGCACTGCTATGTCGCTATCTCATAATGTCATATGTCACATATGTCACACGTATATTTCACCACTTTTGCAGGAAAAAAAAACCTTCACTTCTACAATCACCACCCGATTTTCAGGGGGCTTCAGGTCCATCAATGTTCAACCACCTTCCAGGGCCAGACACAGAACAGCTCAGTTGGGAAACTGACCCCGGAGTGAAAAAATGGGAGAAGAAAAAAGATCTTCCCATGGGGAAATTGACGTCAATATACAACAGCTATGAGACCAGAACCCAGGTGTTTGGAAAGTTAGAAAGTTGAAGTCGAGCCGCGTCAAGCCAATCATTTCTGGTATGGACCCAAGTTTCAACCGGTAGTCCCGGAAGTCCTCATGTCTGCTGTCTGTTGTCTCCCATGCCCCTCCCACACAGCCTGATCGGCCATATCTTCTGTGAGGTGGTAACCCTCCTGTCGTAAGAATGTCACTTCGAGAAGCTCTACTTAGATGGGCCATGGAGTTAGTGAAAACTAGTTAGTAAATGGATTATTTCATTGGGATTGTTTTGGGGTAACAAATCCCCAGTTACTAACCATGAATCGCTAATCCCATGGCCCATCTAAGGTTCTCAAGTTAGGACCATCAGGACGGGTTGACCAAAAATGATGAATCGTCGATCAAACACACACAAGAAATCACAAGAAGCTCTCAACGTGTTCGGAAAAGAAAAAGCTGGAACTGGAAGTCCTTGTCTTTTCCACAGGAAAATCATATGGAAAGTCCATCTATTCTCCACTTCCAGGTGACAAAATCAAGGCTGCAAAACCTCCCAGAAGTCCCAAAAAAAACCTCATTTTTGTTGGTTCGTCCTCATATGTCCTCATTAAATCATGATTTTCCTTGTGAAATCCCACGAAATCCCATGAAAATCCGACCAAATTCCCAACTTCCCCCATCTTTGTAGCTCAACCATTCGTTGCCGCTCCTCGGGCGTCCTGGGCGGCTCGATGGGGTTGGTGTTCTCGAACAGCCGCGGCTCGTACTGGGAGGTCTCGCCCGCGATGAAGCCGTAGAAGTAGCGGAAACCCAAACCTTGGGGCGGTCCGAAAAAAACGCTTCGGAAAGGCCCCAAATCTATGAAGGTGTCAGAAAATCGTGATGATTTCACCAACAAAACATGGTGATTTAACCATGAAAAATGATGGAAAAGTGGTGATTTCACCATGAAAAATGGTGATTTCACCAACAAAACATGGTGATTTAACAGACATGTCACCAAGAAATGGAGGTGTTTTTTGTGGCGAATTAATGTGGGTAAAACAATGCCATGAACCCATGACTGGGAATGGTTTCAACATACCACCTATGGTGATGACTGGGGAGCTATTTCTATATGGAGGTTTCACAATGTCATAGGGGTACCCGAAAAAAATCATCCAGCTATTAGATTGGGATTTTCCGGATTTTCCATGAAAGAGTCACCATCCAGCGACTTTTCTGGGTAGCTCCATGACTATGGAAACCAGATGAATGTGTGGGAAATAGGTCGCAACAAACAATGGGGATTTATGAGTTACTAGTGGGATAGATGTAGAACCCAAATGTTTGCGTCAATTGGCTATTGAAGCTTCAACTGCTGGCTGTTTTCTCAACAAAACTTTATGATCATATTGATATGCTACAACAAAACATGGCGAATGAAACTGGTCAGGTTACGTTGGAAACGGATGTTCCTCTCCATCAGTTGCTGGTTCCGGTAATGTGGCATGGTTCTCCAACCAAAAGAAACCGTGCAGTGCTCGGATTTCATCGCTCTTTCCGAGCAAAAGAACCATGATGGTGTTTACTCAAAAAAATATATCAACTATATACAACGTAATGGTAAACACATCATGAACTATTATGAACTATTATTATAAACCATTATACTATATATAATATGAATGAACTATTATGGTTCATACTATATATAGCAACGTGACAGAATCTGTGGCTCTATATAACCCATCAACCAAACCCCTTGACTCTCGTGTTATCCGGTACGAAAGAACCCTCCAACCTTTCTTGGGACAAAAAGTCACGCAGAAAAACAGATTTCCCCATTGATTAAGGCCATCAATCAATGGATTGGTGTAAGGGAAAATTTACAGGAAAACCCCAGATTTAATGGAAAATATATAATTTCCTGTAGAATTTCCCTTAAACCAATCCATTGAATCAAAAAACAACAAAGCATTCCGTCATCGACCAAGGGACCTGTGGGATATTGATCAAAAGGCCCCGATTTAAAGAGGTTGTCGATGGGCGTGTTGTGCCACTTCCCAAAGGCTGCAGTGTCGTAGCCATACTCTGACAAGACCTGTTCCATGGAAGGAGTGAATCCTGTGTTGAGAGTTGACATCACAGTGGAAATGACGAGCCATCCATTTCAATTCATGTCCCTATGTTTGGATGTCGTATCTCTAAAGTTAGCTATATAATAATCGTTCTGCTTCATAGTCATAGTGACATGCCAGATACAAAAGGATCAAGTAGCAGTTGTTTAACATCCGGGACTTTGTCCTCTCGATTATCTCCGGCTAAGTTTCAAACATGTTCAACGGGGAAACCAAATGAAACAATACAAAAGGAACAGCACGTTTGTATTTTCCCGAATTACCAATTCCCAAATTAGAAAATCCATCAAATGGGAGGGTTTCCCTTCCAATCCATCATTTACAGAGAGATCGTCCCTATGGAGATTGGCAAAAAAACCTTTAGAATTGGCTGTTCATAATCTCAGCCACTCTGTCTTCTGGTCTCGGACGAACTTCCCAAGTAGCCTGATGAGGATTTGGAGGATCATCCCACGGCTCGTAGTTAATAACCCTGAATATCTAAGTTTTCAAGTCGTTTCTTCTCCCATATATTTAAAAAAAAAAAACTTATGGTTCTTCACCATGATTGACCACTTAATGTCAACCCCGGATTCATAAACCATCGTTTACTAGAGGGTACTTCCCAGTCATTTCATCATGTTCATCTACTTTTAAAAATGATACCCAATTCAACAGCCTAATTTGGGGAATAAACCAGTGGCATTCAGTGTCTAGATGTGCCATGGAGTTAGTTAAAACTAGTTCGTAAATGGATTATTTCATTGGGATTGTTTTGGGGTAACAAATCCCCAGTTACCAACCATAAATCGCGTCAGCTTCCCATGGCCCATCGTGGGCTAATCCTCCCAGTCCTCGTGGCGTCCCCATCCACGGCCTTCGCCATGGTGGCCGCGGACTTGGGGATGGTCCCCGTGTAGCCCGGGAAGCCGCTGGCGGCCTCGGTGATCTGCCCCGCGCCCACGTGGTGCGAGTTGCGGCCCGTCATCCTTCGACGTCGGTTCGACGGGGTGGGGAAAAATCCCATGGGGCTTTACCCAAAATGTGGGGAAAGTGATGGAAACATGTCTCATTCTGAGATTTTTTTTTAGAAGATTTACCACTTATCACTCACATTTGGTGAAAAAAATGGGGCTGCCACTCCTAGTTTCCATCAAATATCCAGTGGCCAAAAAATGGCATCTTACGGTGAGGCACCTTTTCCGAGAACATGCTGAGTTCCATGGGGTTTTGTGAAATAGTTTTGTGAAACAATCCAAAAATGTAGGGTTCATGAAAGAAAGCAGGAAAATAGATCTAGAATGATCTAAATTTTTCATCACCTGCACCATACCAACCAATGGATTTGGACTTGGAAAGTTGTTGGCACATAGAAATCGACCAAAATGTCGCTCCGAGAGTCAAGGACGCCCTGGTGGGGGAGCAGATGGCCGTGGTGTGGAAACGGTTGTACGTCACCTTGGACGCCAGTGGCTGCTGCCAGGATGAGAAACAAAAATCCTCCAGCTGGGAACAACATTTTAACATATTTTAACTATATTTTTCTTGGGAAGGAGGCTCCCCTTTTCTTTCGATTTCGATGGAAAGAAATATATAGGGTTCCTTGGGGGGGTAACTAGGATTTGATCAAAACATCCAAAACGAAAAATGTGGAGGAAAATACTCTGCTCCAAACAATATGGTTGAGTAATGAAAATGAACAGTTTGACCAAAATTCTGACCCAGCCTGGGGTATGGATCAAGACCCTTATGCTCCGCTAATGTTTTGCCATCCAAAGAAGGTCCGTATTGTCAAATGCTGAGTTCCAAGAACCTATAGTGGTTGTTATATCTTGCAATGTTTTTAACCAGTGACCATTATTATTGGATTATTTCACCGGTTTTGCCACTTCGGACCCAAAGTTTTCTGACCATTCTTGTCTGTTAAACACGTAAACAAACATGAAAGCAAAAAGTAGATAAATCAACAAATCAATAATAAATGAATACAATAAGTAAATGAATGCATATCATTATCAATGTATATTATTATACATATATATATATATATGACATACATACACACGTTGGTGGGAGCCTCACAAAACCCCAGTGACACCATGCGAGGCAATCTTCGACAGCGTGGGTGTGTGGATGGGACCACCGAAGGTGTCAGGAGCACCGTAACCCACGTCGTCGTTCATGATCACCACGATGTTGGGAGTATCCTGCGACGGGGTGATTTGGGATGATGGGAACCGAAGAGCTGAATGGATCAAAGTTGTGAGAACTGCTTGTCGCTTTGTTGAGAAATCGTGGATTTTGTTATGGGTTTCAACTTAAACTAACATACCCCAAAAAAAGTTAGATATTGGTTAGATATGGTTAGATATGGGTTTTTTTGAAGTGGGTTTGGGTTCCCACTTAACAAAGATGTTGGGAATGGATGTTGGGGGTATCTTGATGAGACGATTCCGAGACAGTGAGGATGGTAGGTAAACCTGAATCATGAGATTTCCCAGCACGGATGGTGAGAATCCACAATTTCTAAAGTGTATAAAGGATGATAGTCATAGTACAACCCCACTTTTTTCATCCACAAAAATCATCCATGAACAGAGGTTCTGAAGATTTCTGAAGCTTCTGAACACTGGTCAGGTGGATTGTATCCATATATGTCCATCTTTATCCTTCTTGGATTGGAGGAAAATTTGGCCCTGAAGTCTGTCACTGATGGGATCCCACCATGGTGGTTTCAACCAATCCGGTGGGATCCGGAATCGAAGGAAGGACGTGGCTGGGGAAACACGTGTCTGTTGGGGAAATGCTTAACAAGTGCCTAGCCATATCAAACGAATAATAATAATGATGATACAGAACACATTGTAAGATATTGTAAGAAGGATGGATCAAATATATATTAAGAAGAATAGTAGCAAGATAGCAAGATAATACTACCAGGAATAAACAATAACAATGAAATATCCACACACAAAATACCCAACTGGTAACGTGAAATATGCACCCGGAATGATGCTCGGACTTGGTCAGGTTCCCTACGAGTACTCCGGAACCGGAGGTCCTTTTTATGTCGGTAAAATGCTGAGTTCCAAGAACTTATAGTGGATTATTATTGGATTATTACTGGATTATATAATATGGTAAAAGATTGGTTGGTGGTTGAGCCTACCCCTCTGAAAAATGATGAAGTTCGTCAGTTGGGATGATGACATTTTCCAATATGATGGGAAAAATAGTCCAAATGTTCCAAACCACCAACCAGAATACTTCCCTAGGAACCCTGGAATTATTGTTGGATGCGTTTTTTGCAGTGCCCCACAACTAGCGGGAATCTAATCTTTGGATGGATGGGTTTCAGTCTACAGCAGGAAACTACAAGTCGTTGGTGTTGCTCAAAAAGTGGTGCCCCACAAAAAGGAAAGTTGGCATTTAACTCTTAACTAATGTAACTAGGGTGCGTGATGAAGATTGATCTGCACTTGTCGAGTGAACATAAGTTGGGGGGTCCTCTTTGTACCGTGAAAATTGGAGAAAATGTCAATCAACGGGTATTCACTGGTATTCATCTAACAAAATGTGACTTGGATTGGTGGCTAGGGTAAATCCCATATAAATCCCATTGAATCACAATTGTTCATAGGTAAATCCCATATAAATCCCATTAAATCACAATTTGTCATAAGTAAATCCCATATAAATCCCATGAAATCCCATTAAATCCCCATATAAATCCCATATAAATCCCGGTAAATCCCAATAAATCCCATTACAGTAAATCATAAGGATCCATGTTTTGTGGAGGGCAAAACATAGCCCGTCGTCCCTGGCTCCGCCTTTCCCTGGCTCTCCACCGTCCTTTCGCAAGGGCTGCCGCTTGGGGGGCCAGCGATTCACCGAGTCTGCCAGGGTGGGGCCGACGATGGCATCCTGAGACGTCGGAAGCCAACAATGGCTACGAAAGCCATCAGAGTAATCCCATCACGGTGAGTTTATCACCCCAGAAATTATTATCCCAGTTATGTGGGAAATTCCCTACTAAACCATTGTTTCTAAGGGAAATGGTCCCAATTATGTGGAAATCCCCTACTAAACCATGGTTTCTAAGGGGCTGTTGAATATTCGGGGGGATGAGTTAAAGACGATACCAAAAATAAGCTTCAAAGGAAGCCGACACCTAGAAATAGGTGCAGTAGATGCAGTAAAACCAATCCAGATCAAAAGTTTCATTGAAACAATGTACTGATTACCTGCTTACCCTCCGGGAATCAAACATGGCAACAGGAAATTCCCTACTAGACATGGACATTTCAGTGCGAAAGTCATCGAACTAAATGGGGGATTCTCCATTTCCTACCTAAAACTCCGTCCAACCAACATCATCATTGAAGCTATAAAACCCAATAATAGTAGTAGTAATAATAATAATAATAATTAATAATAATAATAATAAATAATAATAATAATATATATCCCATTTTAGTTGCTTAAGAATCCCCATATTTGGGGTATCCAACACATATTGGTACCCAGCCACCGATGGCATGGGTGGAAACGGCAAATCCGGCGGTGTCAGCTCTCCATTCGCCACGCTGGGATCGCTCCGCTCCGCCGCAGCCAGCAGCGGCAGCAGCAGCAACGACAACGGCATGGCGCCGAACGAGGCGAGACGCGGTGGAGACGAGCTGACACCCTGCGAGAGAACGAGGTGGGTTGAATCTGTGGTGATCCAATAGTAACTTAGTCCCAAAAGGTGAGAAATCTCATGAAATCTGCCAGAATCCATGACATTTCTGGATCCAGCGGGACAGCCGGCAAAGTGAATGTGGGGAGTGACTGCTCCTTGGATCCTGTTCTTGTTGGGGCTACAGCTTTGGTGGTTCACAAAATGGTTCCCCTGCAGCGACTCCCAGTTGAAGTTTCACGTTTGCGTCATGTTGCAGTCTATGATTCTATCATGATCCGCGCGACTCCATCTCTCAATTGGATGTGAAGTGAATCCGAACCGCAAAGCAGGTGTTCCCCGCACCTGGTTGATCCAAGGAAGCGCAACAACCTGGCAGCCATGGTGTCTTCTTTCAAGAACCAAAAAGGAGGAGACGGGTCCACTCGACTTAGACACAGATCAAACACGGCTTTCCTTTCACACCTTGGACTGATAGAAAAATTGTAGAAACTATGTCTGAAAATTCCCTTCCAACTCCATCGACCAAAAGTCAAAGATCATCTTCGGAGAGTGCGCTCGGAAACATCATTGGGTGCACTGTCAGTGATCAGCATGCCATTTACTTTGTTGAACCAAAAAACATTCTAGCTCCAAGAACACGCTGCAAACAAAAAACCTGAAGAAGGTTGTGTCTGCAATCAAGAAAGCATTTGGTTTGGTACACGCTCGCACGGAGAAACCTACGGGAGACCTGTGCATGTTCTGAAATGCTGGCAACATTGTGACATATTCGGTCAGCTTCAACCAGCCACCATCACTGCCAAGACACATTGTCCAACTAAATTCTGACGCTTCTGCAGAAGAAACTGGCGTCATTCTTCCGAGAATGCCAAGTGTTGAGGCCTGGAAGTCTGAAAGGCTCGGTTACACAATTGCCGTTGGACTGCTATACAATTGGCTCCAACTGATGCGAGAAACATCCAGCTACAAGTTCAAAAACTCTCCAACAAAATTCCAAGAAGAAAAATCAAAGAGAGCAACGCAAGAAAAGGCAATGGCTGACATATGACACACTTTTTTTGGCAAACGCTGTCGGACACTTTGGACTCCACGCGGGGAACGCTGCTGAAGCATTCTGTCGCGGCACATGTACTACAAATGCCACCTGTGCTGAGCCACCACCTCACGAGAGCTATAAGCCAACAACCGGGCCCACTAGGCGAGCAATTTGACACTTGAGGCTCATGTCTTCCAGAGGCCTCTTCAAATCAGCTAAATGCTGTTCTGTCGCTTGGGTGGCATTGACACAAAGGTTCTCAACTTGCTGTGCTCGTGCCTGCGCATCTCTGTGCCACTCTGAAATCCTTTGGCCATGTGACTCAGACGTAATTTCAAGAACTGACACGATCTCGGTATGTCTGTTGATCATACCAATGAGGTTATTAATATTCATTTGGTGCTGCCAAGTTTTGACCTCAAGGTTGCCAATCTTTTGGCCGAGCAAGGCTGTACTATTTTGGACACCATCCTCAATGGCATTGGAACATGACTTCATAGAAGACTCAAGCTCTCCAAGTTTCTTACCTCGCGACTGATGGCTAGCCTCAACCTGGTCAATTCTCTTGCCAAGTGTTGCCGTGAGATTGTCGACCTCGTCTAGACTCTCCTTTGCCCGTGATTCAACATTCGCAGCAAGCTCCGAAATCGCCTTGCCCTGAGACTCAGACGTAGAAGCAAGCTCTGAAATGCGAACGGCATTTGAGTTCACAGAAGACTCAAGGCCTTCAATCTTCTGACCATGCACTTCTGCCCTAGCATCAATGTCCTCAGTCTTCTTCTCAAGTGCTGAAGCACGAGCATGAAGCTCATTCCGAATCTCCTTTGCCCGTGAATCAACATTCGCAGCAAGCTCCGAAATCGCCTTGCCCTGAGACTCAGACGTAGAAGCAAGCTCTGAAATGCGAACGGCATTTGAGTTCACAGAAGACTCAAGGCCTGGAATCTTCTGACCATGCACTTCTGCCCTAGCATCAATGTCCTCAGTCTTCTTCTCAAGTGCTGAAGCACGAGCATGAAGCTCATTCCGAATCTCCTTTGCCCGTGAATCAACATTCGCAGCAAGCTCCGAAATCGCCTTGCCCTGAGACTCAGACGTAGAAGCAAGCTCTGAAATGCGAACGGCATTTGAGTTCACAGAAGACTCAAGGCCTTGAATCTTCTGACCACGCACTTCTGCCCTAGCATCAACGTCCTCAGTCTTCTTCTCAAGTGCTGAAGCACGAGTATGAAGCTCATTCCGAATCTCCTTTGCCCGTGAATCAACATTCGCAGCAAGCTCCGAAATCGCCTTGCCCTGAGACTCAGACGTAGAAGCAAGCTCTGAAATGCGAACGGCATTTGAGTTCACAGAAGACTCAAGGCCTTGAATCTTCTGACCATGCACTTCTGCCCTACCATTGATTTCTCCAATCCTCTTGTCAAGTGCTTCAGCACGCTGATGAAGATTGTCTCGAATCTCCTTGGCCTGAAACTCAGCATCTGTAGCAAGCTGTGTAATCCTCTTGCCCTGTGACTCAGATGTAGAAACCAGACTGGAAAGGCTAGTGGCATGTGACTCCATAGAAGACTCAAGCTCTCCAAGTTTCTTGTTCTGGGACTGATGGCGAGCCTCAATCTGGTCAATCCTCTTGTCAAGGACTGCAGTGAGATTCTCGACCTCATCTCGAATCTCCTTTGCCTGTGACTCAACATCAGTACCAAGATCGGAGATCCTTTGGGAACTTGTCTTGCCCTTCGTTTCCAGGGACTGAATCTGGTTGCGAAGGTCTTGTATGGCAAGATGTTGCAGGACAAAAGCAGCAAGCAAGAGTAGGACAAAGGTGACAAAGGCAAATGATGTCCACATCGATCCGCTTTTGGCTTGCACACGTAAACTTTCATGGTTTGAACTTGAAGGACTGCGTGCTCGACAGATCAAGCTGCGAATCTGCTCTGGTTCAATTTTTTGGTCAGGATTGTACTTCGTCCAAGTGTCCACGTTGCCGGTCTCAGGGAGAAAGTTACCAAAGATGCTCCCCAAGTCAGACTGATGCTGTTGCCATCCATCTCGAGCTGAATTGGTAGTGGGACACACAACGAAGTTCACTCTGATCTCTGGAAAATTCTTCAAAATGGTGCAAAGTTCCACGTTTCTGGGGTAATGTTCCGCATCAAACCACAAGTAGCTGGAGGCAGCCGTGGCAAGAAGAAGAACTGAGGCTTCAGAGGCTGACAAGACTTGTGCTTCCAAAGCATCTGCATCCAACCCATCCTGCTCCGAGTAGTGGAACAACTTGATCTGCACATCAGATTGCCCGCCCAAGCTCTGCGCATAGCCAGCCAAAGCTGCTTTGCTCCTTAGGCACCATAAATCAATGAGAAGCAAATCATAACATACTACCTCGCTGCACCTTCAGCTACCCGTTATTGGTCACTTTTATTGCAAGGCTTCTGCAACGTTCTTCAGATACATTTGGATCGTAGATATGCCGAGTGAAATGACCAGTTTGAAAGAAAAACTAACTCAAACCAAAGCTGACATAATATGATTAGTCTGCGAGTTGGCAGCTTTGCTTCCAATAATCTCTTGAACAAAGAAACAGATCGAAAGCATGATCTTTGCCAGTTGAAGTAAAGTCAGAAACTTCAAACTATGTGGGAACTTGTAAATCATCCCGCCTCCACTCGTTTGTTCCACTCAAATTCAAGTCCCAGATTCGTGGAAAAGATCAGATGCCTTCTCAGCTCCATCGGTGTCGAAACCACAAAATCTACGAAGGGAGGAAACAATCACTGAGAAACAGCTGCAGCAGAGGTTCCCCTGCGAAAGTGTTGACAATTGTAAGGTAGCAACCCGCTCTTGTCGCTTTGGCCAAAGTTGAATCTATTTAAAATGCAGAACAAAAGAAAAACAGTTGAACCAGTCATGGTGATCAAAGAAGAAATGGCAGGCCTCGTAAAAGCAGGCTGCGAAGGTGCAAGGCTGATCCATGGCCTGACAAATCAAAGCAATGTGCTGCTGGAGGGAATGTCTCTGAACAAGCAGAATTTCCCTTGCGCTATGTGCGTCAGCTTCAACTTCTGGCGCTCAACAACTCAGAAATCAAGTCTTTTTTCACCCGGACCTGTAGTTGTCCGCCTGTAGCTTTTAAATAGTAGACTCTACTTCAACGACTGTTCAATCATATCGAAACTAGGGATCGGCAGCTCGCCACTGGAGCAGCCAAGACCAAATCACATATTGAATTCCACCCTCATCGAAATGTGCCATCTGTCATCGCCGGAATATGGCCACAGCCAAAGCGACAAGAAAGATCATGACAGAGATAAGAAGATAGATGGACAACTTGGGTGTGGCTGCCACAGCAGTAGATGCTGCCGAAGCCCACTCCTGCACGGGTGTGGCCGTGTTCTCACGCATGGCTTTCTCAAGAAGTTGAGACAGGAGATCGAAGGTTGCCTTGTTGGTGCGAAGACTTCCACAACTGTTCCGCTTGTAGTTCGTGATCGCGTAGACATGGTCTGTCTTTGAGAATCTCTTGATACCTTCCAGGGCACTCTCAAGTTCTTCCCTTGGATCCTCTTTCTGACAGTCCCTCAGGAATTCGTCAAGGAAAGTCACCACCACAACGTAGGGAAACTCGACTCTACCACCGGAGGCCGTCTTGAAGACTCCTGCCATCTTTTGGAGATATCCTTGGGTCTCTGTCTTCTGATCACGCCAGTGGCACAGAGACACCACGACGATCGCTCCATGCGGCGGCTTGCTGAAGGAACTCTGCTTCTCTGGTGCAAGGTCCTGTCTCCGCGCACCGTCCTTCACTCCAGTGGACAACAAGGTCTTCAGCTTGCCTTGCATCTCGTCGTTCATGTTGGGGAATGCTGGCGTGTCCACAAGCACCATGTGTGAGGAGCCAAGGGGAATTTTGATACTCTTCAGGGCCACGGTCTTCTCTTCTTCGCTCGCTGGTGCTTGGTCCATGTGGTCGTTCAACGTCAAATCACCATGCAAGCAGCGAGACAAGTGGTTGATGTGAGAAGACTTGCCATGGTGCTGAGCGGCCACAACAACAATGTGTGGATCACCCTTCGCCGCTACAAAGTGAGCAAACTCTGTTTGTTCAAACTCTGCGACTCTTTGTTTCAAATCTTTGGCCGTTTCCTCAACGGAGAGTTCAGCATCCCAAGTGACCTGTTTTTTCGCTGCTTCACTCAGCAAACCGTCTTCAGACACTGCCCTCAGGACGACCTTCACAACACAGGCTTGGTCCCGTGGCACTTGCTCAGGATGAGGCACGAGGGCTGCGCACCTCTCCACTTGAATGATGCCGGTGGAATGGAATGGGTCGATGATAGGACCTTCAAATTCAAAGTAACACACCTCCACCTGAAAGTGGCCATGAGCACCGTCTTCCGTTTGCCAACGGATGTGAAGGCTCTTGTTTGGCCGCGCTTTCACTTCGAGGTCCACGGGCTTTGCCGGGGCCTTCGACGGAACGGGAAGTACGGCCATGGCAAAAGCCAGCGAATCGCAAAGAAAAGATCAAATGGGGGATTCGCGCTTGGCCCGAAGTGTCTTCAAAATGCAGTCATCCGACTTTTTTCCTTTAGTGCACTAAAGTAGGTCAAGGTGCCCCAGCCACTAAAACCAGCTTGCTGAAGAAATGCAAGTGTACGAAGAATACTCGGCATACTTGTATCATATAGTCAGAAAAGTGTTCCAGTTCCAAGGTATGTCAAATGAATTGCCGCAAGCTTGATCAACAAAAGCAACTGTAAACCATTAGCTGAAGATGTTTGGACGTAAGCCAAGTACTACATGAAATCTATGGCTCTGCTTGCATCATCTCGCATCAAACAGACATGAAAGCAGCTCCTGCAAACATATGTAAAAGCGGCAAAGTGACAGTTCAGTGTCAATAGAGGTACATGTAGCAGGCATCAGCTGAACCTTTTCTCAACTCCTCTGCTGTATAGCGACTCGCAAGGCTGTAGAGAACTGTAGGCCAACACATCATTGTCAAAGGTTCCAAGCCGCTAGGCTGCGCAGACTAAAGGCCGCAAACTCTTTCAAGTTGCTAGTAATAAGCAGAGAGATGCATAAATAAGGCAAAAGTACTACGAATGCCTTCTGTCAACCACTCGAGCCACCGCTGGTCTGGACACTGACAATTCTGGCATTGCATCTCATTCACAGCATCTAGACTCTGATTTCTGGAAGGAATCTCCATTGGCTTGGTATCTTGCAGAAGCTGCTGAGCCTTCTCCTGGTAGAATGCGGCGGCGCAAGTGTCTGGGGCACAAGCATTGCGGGAGCACTCCGACATCTGCCCACGAAGATGCCCAACCTCCCTGGCACACCAATCTCCACTGGATTTGGTATCTTCCTGCAGTGAGCTCAACGCCGATAGTCTTTTGCCATGCAACTCAGAAGTAGAATTGAGGTGTGAAATCATCGTGCTTTGTCCTGTGGAGGTAGGACCAAGCTCCAAAATCTTTTCGGAATGTGCCTTGTCCTTTCTTTCTAGGGAAAGGATTTTGTCACGAAGGACTTGGATCTCTTGCTGATGCCTATGCAGCTTTTGCTGTTGCGTGTCCAGCTGTTGCTTTTGCATGTCCACCTTGGAAGTCAAATGGAACAGAATGCCGACAATCCCAAGAAGGAGAAGGGAAAACCCAACTGATTTCCAAAGGGCTCCACTTCCAAAGGGCCATCTATGCGGTGGCGGTTGGTGGATGTCCTGATGGTTCAAAGCTCTTGCAACTCGGCGGGTCAAGCTCCGAATTTGTTTCCAAATCCACCCACCTCTTGGCTCTTGATGAACATCTTGGCACTGCAAGGCTTGCTTGTGTTGTGCACTGTAAATCAAGCTACGAATCCGCTCTTGCCAATGCCCAAGATCTTGTTCCGGATCGAAGTCTGTCCAAGTGTGCGGTCTCCGTGTCTCTGGGAGAAAACCACGAAAGACCTTCTGGAAGTCAGGCGGATGCTGTTGCCATCCATCTCGAGCTGACTTGTTAGTGGGACACACAACGAAGTTCACTCTGATCTCTGGAAAATTCTTCAAAATGGTGCAAATTTGTTCCACGTTTCCGGGGCGGTCCCCCTCGTCCTTATCAAACCACAAGTAGCAGGAGGCAGCTGTAGCAAGGAGAAGAACTGAGGCTTCAGACGCTGACTCGACTTCTGCTTTCAACGCATCAGTGTCCAGCCCATCCTGCTCCGAGTAGCGGAACAACTTGATCTGCACATCAGATTGCCCGCCCAAGCTCTGCGCATAGCCAGCCAGGGCTGCTTCGCTCCTCAGCTATCACAAAGGAACAAACACACAGCGGTGGCAACTGATAAACTTTGACACAAATGGATCCATGATTTCCAGAGCTTGCCATTTCCCCTCTACATCTGGCTACATCGATCCTGCAGGGACCAGTGGGTCATTGGATTCTGGGGATCCAAGATATGCTCCGCGAATGGTGTCCAACAACAAACTGAATTCAAACAAAGGACTCGAAATGATGTCATTGCCTCCAATAGTCTTTTGAAAAAAAAATAGATCCAAGGCCGCCTGATTATTGACAGCTAAAGCGAAGTCGGAAATATCACCCCTATGCAGCCTATGCATTTGATGCAACCTATCGGATGGTTCCGTGCTCGTTTGTTCGACTTACATTTGAAATCCCAGGTTCGTTGAAAAGATGAGATGCTTGGTTTGCCCCATCGGTGTCAAAATCGCGAAATCTACACCGGGAGGAAAGAATGAATGATAAACGGCTGCAGCAGAGCACTCCTCCCAAGGCTGACAAGCACACAAAGCTATGAGCACTGTGCGAATTGTTGAGTCCAGTTTACATGTCGAAAAAGGGAGAAAAACTGCTGCATCACCCATGGCAAGAAAAATGAACGCCAGGCCTCGTGAATGCACCGCAGGCTTTCAATGTTGGAGGCTGATCTGGGACCTACCAAATCAAAGGAATATGACACAATATGCATGTGCAGTGGTCTCTGTCAAAAAAAATCCGTCAGCTTCAACTTCTGGCGCTTATCGACAATCAACTCGTTTTTTTCACCCGGACCTGTAGTTATCCGCCTGTAGCTTTTAAATAGTAGACTCTACTTCAACGGCTGTTCAATCATTTCGAAACTAGAGATCGGCAGCTCGCCACTGGAGCAGCCAAGACCAAATCACACATTGAGTTCCACCCTCATCGAAATGTGCCATCCGTCATCGCCGGAACATGGCCACAGCCAAAGCGACAAGAAAGATCATGACAGAGATAAGAAGATAGATGGACAACCTGGGTGTGGCTGCCACAGCAGCAAATGCTGCCGAAGCCCACTCCTGCACGGGTGTGGCCGTGTTCTCGCGCATGGCTTTCTCAAGAAGTTGGGACAGGAGATCGAAGGTTGCCTTGTTGGTGCGAAGACTTCCACAACTGTTCCGCTTGTAGTTCGTGATCGCGTAGACATGGTCTGTCTTTGAGAATCTCTTGATACCTTCCAGGGCACTCTCAAGTTCTTCCCTTGGATCCTCTTTCTGACAGTCCCTCAGGAATTCGTCAAGGAAAGTCACCACCACAACGTAGGGAAACTCGACTCTACCACCGGAGGCCGTCTTGAAGACTCCTGCCATCTTTTGGAGATATCCTTGGGTCTCTGTCTTCTGATCACGCCAGTGGCACAGAGACACCACGACGATCGCTCCATGCGGCGGCTTGCTGAAGGAACTCTGCTTCTCTGGTGCAAGGTCCTGTCTCCGCGCACCGTCCTTCACTCCAGTGGACAACAAGGTCTTCAGCTTGCCTTGCATCTCGTCGTTCATGTTGGGGAATGCTGGCGTGTCCACAAGCACCATGTGTGAGGAGCCAAGGGGAATTTTGATACTCTTCAGGGCCACGGTCTTCTCTTCTTCGCTCGCTGGTGCTTGGTCCATGTGGTCGTTCAACGTCAAATCACCATGCAAGCAGCGAGACAAGTGGTTGATGTGAGAAGACTTGCCATGGTGCTGAGCGGCCACAACTACAATGTGTGGATCACCCTTCGCCGCTACAAAGTGGGCAAACTCTGTTTGTTCAAACTCTGCAACTCGTTGTTTCAAATCTTTGGCCGTTTCCTCAACGGAGAGTTCAGCATCCCAAGTGACCTGTTTCTCCGCTGCTTCACTCAACAGACCATCTTCTGACACTGCCTTCACGAACACCTTCACAACCCAGGCTTGGTCCTTTGGCACCTTCTCAGGATGAGGCACGAGGGCTGCACACCTCTCCACTTCAATGACGCCGCTGGAATGAAACGGGTCAAGCATAGGACCTTCAAATTCGAAGTAACACACCTCCACCTGAAAGCGGCCATGAGCGCCGTCCGCTTGCCAACGGATGTGAAGGCTCTTGTCTGGCCGCGCTTTCACTTCGAGGTCCACGGGCTTCGCAGGGGCCTTCGACGGAACGGGAAGTACGGCCATGGTGACAGGCCTACCAAGCCGGCAAAATCGAACAAATTAAGGAGATTCGCACTGAGCCGGAAGTGTCTTCAGAGTTCGGGTCATCCGGCTTTTTGCTTTTTGAGTGCAAGTGGATGTGGCTTTTCCTCAACAAGGTGAAACACGCATCTTCCCTTTTTAGTGCAAGCACATTTTTGAAATGAACTCTTCCGGGAATAACAAAAAGTCTTGGCCACCGCATACCTTCGAAAGAAGGCTGGCGTTTTTGACAAAACTAGATACACCAGATGACAAGCACCTTCCCTGAAACAAAGGCAAAAGCAATGGGCAATGCACGTGAAAGCAATGATGCTGCCGCCATGGTCCTTTTCGTCGACTGCTAGCTGGTCGCAAAGAAGCTAAACTGTACAGAAACCGAAACCTGTGTAGGGCCCAAACATCACAAGCTGGTCGAAGGCTATGGGCTTCCATTTCAAGCCATTGGAGTGCTAAATCTCGGTGCCATCACTGGTGGAGTCAGTGTCTTAAGTGCGTCAATTGATGGATATCAAACGAGGCAACAAGCGGCAGTGGCAGAGAGGAGGCAACTTCGGAGGCAACAGTACTACAAATGCCTCCCAACCGCTCCCACCACTGCAGACTCTGGCCATCGCGAAGATGCACAACCTCCGCTTCAAGCAACTGGATGCGATGGCGGAGATCTCTCGTCTCGTTCTGGAGCCCTTGGAGCTGGGAACTCAGGGAGGACACCTTGCGCATGAGCTGGCGCACGCCCAAACCAACAACCAAAAGCAGTACAAATCCTCCAACTGGTTTCCAAATCCATCCACCTCTTGGCTCTTGATGAACATCTTGGCACTGCAAGGCTTGCTGGTGTTGCGCACGGTAAATCAAGCTACGAATCTGCTCTTGCCCAAGACCTTGTTCCGGATCGAAGTCCGTCCAAGTGTCCACTTTGCCCGTCTCCGGGAGAAAGTCTCCGAAGACACTCCGCAAGTCAGACTGATGCTGTTGCCATCCATCTCGAGCTGAATGGGTAGTTGGACACACAACGAAGTTCACTCTGATCTCTGCAAATTTCTTCAAAATGGTACAAAGTTCCACGTTTCTGGGGTAATGTTCCGGGTCAAACCACAAGTAGCTGGAGGCAGCTGTAGCAAGAAGGAGAACTGAGACTTCAGCTGCTCCACTTGACAAAATATGAGCTTCCAAGGCAGCTGTGTCCAGCCCATCCTGCTCCGAGTAGTGGAACAACTTGACCTGCACTTCGGGTTGTCCTCTCAAGCTCTGCACATAGCCAGCCAGGGCTGCTTTGTTCCTTAGCTGTCACCCAGCTTTCTGCCTGTTGAGACTTGGTATCCTGAGCCTCAAAAAACCCACCACTCAGCCACTGGACTGCCGTAAGAACTTGGACTGGAAGTTGCGCTGCAAGCAATATTGAGATCAAGTTGCTATCATAACCATGGTAAAACTGGCCAGGTTGATTGGGGTCTGAATATGTTTCCTAGCCGAGTGTGACTCATTGAGTCATGACTCATCTCACTTACACATGGCAAATGAGAAGCCCCAGCATTTAAACAAATCCTTAATAAACAGGCGACGACCTCTCCCGGAATTGGCCCACGCAAAGAGATCATAGGTACAGAAGTTCGCAGGTCCGCCCAGTTGTCAAATGTACAGCTTGGAAATTATCCAATCCAAGAAGCGTGGAGAATATGAGACGCTCCACTTTCTGCATCAGAGGACTGGAGACCCATCAGCAATTTGTGGCATAGATATGCAATAGCCTACTACTGCCGAGCAGAAATTTGACAGCAGGTAGCAGATCTTACTGTGTCAAATCTAAATCAGATCCTGAACTCTCACAATCACAAAAAGATCCGTGCACGCAAAGTGTCACGCGCTGCAGCCGTCCCTCCTAATGACTTGTGAGTCGAATGAGAGCTACTGGAAAACCAAGAGCTCTGACATTGATAGACAGATAGCTTGAAACTTCCTTATTTCCTAGTTCCAATGGATCAAGGCAGCTAAACACATCTGAAATGCACAGCTGCGGCGTGCGCTTCCAACAGGGAAGATTCTCGCTATCTCATCCAGACTCACCTCGAAAGGATGCCAAAGCCGACTCGATACCTCCCTCTCTGCCATTGGAAGTCACATTTTGACAGACTGGGAAAGAATCACGAGTTTTTTGGGGGTTAGCGCTGACATATATATATATATTTTTTTTTTGATCACGTATGCTGAATTTTGCCGGACCCAAGAGTTTCCATGAACTCATGGAGAATTCTGACATAGACAAACGATTGTCCTGATATTCACGTGTCATCATTTAATCTCATCTTTATTCAGAACATGACGCAACCATGGCCAGCACCTGGTGGATCCCTCAAAATGTGCTCACTTGGCAGCTCGCATCATGGAACAAATGTGACAATACTTGAACTGACACTTGGATCATCGGGGACAAGACAAGAAGTGCGCCAAAAGTTTACTTAGATGGGCCATGGGATTAACTAACTGGTTAGTAACTGGTTATATAATGTAAACCTCTATATCCCAATGAAATAATCCATTTACTAACTAGTTTTCCCTAACTCCATGGCCCATCTAAGTATGTCCCAGGCCTTGGAGGGGCATTCCCATGGCAGGATCCAAGGGGAGCCATGGCTCCAACGGACGGATCCACAGAAAATGTCATGGAAAAACGTCCACAGTCCACTGTTGATCCAGGGAGAGAAATTGATCTGCCAAATGGGTGTCAAAACAAAGCTTGGATTTTGCCAAACCTCCACAACTTGTGGCAAGTGGACTGTCAGCTGAGCCAAACAGGGGTCAGAGATTTACGTTTGAAGCAGAGACTCATACAAGCACAGTTGTTCAATCATGTTCAATAATCATTCTTCAGGAAATGCTCAATAAATGGGTAAAATCAACGATTCATTGATATATGAAAGGATGATGAATCACTTTCAATGATGATCAGAGAATGTCACGCTGCCTAGCCCAAAAAAACACACAAAGCCCTCAAATTTTTGACGCTCAGCACACCCAGCTCTCCGGAATTTTCGGAAAACCGCGGCGGCGCCACCCCCTTTGTGGTGGCGGGGCATTAACTCGACTGGCAATTTGAGCGCGGTGATCAGCACACGGTGCAGAGATGCACAGGGGCAACTAGCAGGTCGCATGAAATAAGAGTTTTTTTTTTTAGTCCACAACAATTGGAAGTAAGAAAATAATGGCAGAATTACTAAGTTCAATCTCAAATGGGGTAGACTGGTGATCTGTGTGGTGCCTTACCTACAGTATACTCAATGGAATCTGTTTGAGTCTCAAGATGGTATCTGATATGCTCCCACAGCTGACCTGCGGTGCTATGTGTGCTTCATTAAGCGCGGGAAAAGCAGTCAGTCTCTGCCAGAATAGATCAGGGTCCGTCCCTTTTCAGGAGTCATTCAGCCACTGCTTGGGCAAAATCTGTGCCAAAAAAGCTGTCGAAAAGCTGGGGACCCCAGGTTCTCTCAGCATGATCAGGTCGTTGGTAATTTTTCACATCACCCAACAAAATTGGGAACATCATCCTCAACAGATACCAGTACTTTGGTGATGTTTTCGTAATTAGAATACCCAACATTTTTGACGACATTCTTACCATTCCCTGAAGATGAATCAGCCCTTCAGATGGCCACTAACTTACCATTCCCTGAAGATGAATCAGTCCTTTAAAAGGCGAGCCACTAACTTCAGCCTCCAAAGCCGCGGCGAAACTGCGTCAGGATTTTGGAGTTCTTGCTGGCGATGACTCGGATGTGGATGCGCGGAGGCCTCAGGAAGTCGGGACCACTGAGGGTCCAGAGGTCGGTTTTGATCACCACGAAATGGTTGGTAAATGACCTGGTAAACAGTTGGACATGGGTTTTTTAATAGGGATTTCACCAAGAAAAATGGTGATTTACTGGGATTTAATGGGATTTAATGGGATTTACCGGCCTGGTAAACATACAAAAAACGATGGAAAATCACCATGTCTAATGGGACCATTTTCACTTTTTCGACTGGGCCATTTTCAATAGCTATGTAACAAATTACCAGAGGGTAATGCCACTAAAAATATCCCTACAGTATGAAATGGTTTTGTTTATGCCCAACACTGCCATGGTTTTCATGTTTTTTTTACAAACTGTCCATGAAAGATCATCAGATGTTCGTACTTTCTTCCTTTTTCCCACCGTGGAGATGAAGGGAACATGTAAAACCTGGGGTACCAGTTAATTAGTTCCTGTACCAAGCGGGACTTGCCTTGACCAACTCAAATTTGGACCATCATCTTCAAGGAGCTACAAGGTGGTGTCCTCAAAACTTTTGCTTGTTGGTTTTGGGACCCCGTTAACGAGTTCGGTTTATCTATTAACATGTGCAATAAAAGCTACTGGAGCAACTCGCACATACTCTGAATGTACATCCTGCATGGCTACACAAAAGTGTATCCTCCCCACAAAAGATGTACAGTATCCCATAGCTGACCCTCAGATACTCGTTAGGTGATTCCTTCGCATCCCTCAAGATGGCCAAGAATCAACCCAGCCACCACCATTCACCAAATGAGCCATGGTCAATACTCACTATATGGTTGATGGTCATCCCATCCATAATAAGGATCCTTATAATGGTTATTACAAATCCCTATGAACCATTGGATGACTAGCCCCTATTAATGGTTATTAACCATGAGCATTGACCATAGCTCAAATGTCAACCAAATACCTCCCCCCAACACAACCCAGGTGTTCTGAAAGGCCTGAGCTGACGACATCCGACACCCCAACCATCCTCGGAATTCACCAAGCGTCTTGTGCACGCGATCGATGGTGACCAAATCAGCACCTTGCTGGAAGGCCTCCTCAATCTTTTCCTCCCAGGGGTGGCTTCGGGTTGCTATGGGTTGCTATCATTGGTGTGTTATTTTGAGAAAAATGTAGGGGCTGGTGGGGCACCATCACATCTATCCTTGGGACAAGCTTCGGTTCATTTGAGATCCCACATGGGCGGGGTTTAATGTTGAGTAATGTCAACCTGGGATCAATAAACCTCGTCGATTACATAACTAGAGGATACCCTGGAAATAGTGATGACGATTTGCTACTAAGATGGTACCCGCAATTACACTAAGTACACTAAAAAATCCAGGGGTCTGTTTGGAGGTTTCCTAAAATGGAGGTGCCCAAATCATCCAATGAACGACCATTTTACTCTTGAAGCAACCATGCTGACGACGGTGGATCCCCCATGACTTAAGAACCTCCCCCATTTCAAAAACATCCGGTCAAAGGATCACTTCCCCGGCACCTTGAAATCATTTCCAGGACAGCTATCCAGGATTTCATCGATGGTGGGATGCGGAAACCTCCGAACTTTCAAGGTCTCCACTCCCTCGGGCGAAGTCACAAAGGTGGCCTGGCAGGGCTGGGCAGCCGAGCAGGAAAAAACACTGTAGAAACCCAAAAAAATGAAAGGTGTGTAGAATTCGATTCTGAAATCAAGTGATAAATTTGTGACTATAGATGAACTCTGGAACTTTGAAACAAGAACTTCATCAAATCACAACGAAAGACTGTCTTTTGGCCGCAGGTTTTTTTGCATCTTCATTTGCCAACCCCCCCTTCCCGATGTTTTCACCTCCATATGCATCACCTTTTGGAAGGCTGTCTTTAACCACCACCAGGTGATTCTTGATACTCCCAAAATGGGTAAATGTACACCCCTTGTAATCCAATTCTATGTTTGATGATGACATCCCCATAATATGTCAAAAGTCAAAATCGAAATGGCGGAATCTAGAAAGTCAAAATATACCAACATGTACCAAAAAAATATCTCAAATATGCACCAAACAAATGTCCCGAGTTCGTGGTCCCCCCACTTATCATGTCATACAGTAACTGTAGTTATACTTTATATTACTTTATGGATATTTATTACTTTATATTACTTTATATTACTTTATGGATAGTTATACTATATATTATATATAATCACCATAAAGCCAAGTTAAACAAACTCGGGCCTCCGCCGTTGCCGCCCCCTTTGCCGCTGCCAGTGCTCCAGCGAAGGCTTTGGGCACTGCCGTGCCTTTCGGGAAGACGTTCTCCTGCGCGGTGAAAAAACTCACCAGTGGCGAACTTTGCGAAGTGGCTATGGGTCAATACCTATTAATACCATTTTTAGTGGGATGAACATCCATTTACCAGCTATTTTGGGGTTCACCAGGGGTACAGGGTTTTGACCCATCCCCAAGCCCAAGTCTGAAAAATTCGAAACTTAGAAACATAAGCACTTGCAACACCGTTTCGCTGAGTCAAGGAAAAATATTTAAAATCAAAATGTGGAAACTTGGAAATGATGTTACCCAGTTACCCGTTTTGTCTCAGAATGGGACTCCGAAAACCCATGGGAATTTGACGTTCCAATCCAAAAGATCCCTTTTGAAGAAGATGTTTAACCACCCAGTTGCAGATGGCCATCTGGTGGAAGCCCATCTGGTGATGGTTAGTTACATGTAATGTATATGTAGCGTGTGTAAATATAAGTATTTCTCTATAACATATGTAAACGTGAATAGATATGTCTTTCTCAACACACAATCATGGATCATCTGTCCATATTTCTGGGATGGTGATCGTGTCAGTTCTCATCACCGAAACGTGGCAAAAACATGCGCCATATCTATCCATATCTTGCAGTCTCTCCTTGAAATTTCCCGCATTGCCTGCAGGGAAGTAGTTTGCCACGCAGAACCTTGGAAAATCACAGGATTGCCCCAACACAGGGTGGTGCACCCAACAGGTAGCCAAGTTGGTCTATTAACCCACAAACTATTGTACTTATCTCTGTCAAATCACCATAAACCCAACAGTTCGCCTATTTAACTGTTACTAAAGGGGTTATTCCGTGTGATTCTCAACAAAGTGACCATGTGACCATTGGACTTCTCATTTTTCGCCCAGGAACTTCTCATCTTCCGACAACGCCATGGCCACCTGTCTCGTTGCCTTCCACACCACCTGGCTGAACTGCTCCGTGCCCGGCGCAGGCCCCGACCCCGCGAAGTCGTAGCCGGGCCGTTCCGCTTCGCTCAACCAAGAGCTCAAAATGACGTTGGGATGAGGGCAGCTGCATGGATTCCTCAAAGCTTCGGTGGAAAAACAAAGGGGTGTTCAACTGGTCAACTGGTTCCCATCATTCCTTTTCTTGACTCCTCAGCTCAGTGTCAGAGGTCTAAACAGTTCAAATGCGATTACCGTGTTGACAGTCAGGTAGATTCTTTTTGCTGAACAACCATTTCTTCAGTCAGGAATTGTGCAATGCTCACAAGAAACAAAACCATACCTTTGGCTGTCCAGCCAGTAGAACCGGGGATCAGACCGAAATTATGGAAGTTAAAGTGTGACTGCCCCCCCCAAAAAAAAAAAGACTAAAAAAGGGCCTTATTAAATTCTTCTTGGTTGGAGGTTCGGGTGGCCTTCAACTTCGGGTCCTTCGGGTCACCAAGGCTCCAATAGAGATTCTGCCCATGGCGACCTGATGCTCCGTCACAGTGGCCCCGGAGCATTTGTCCAGCAGCTTGACATGCCTCCACGTCGCTGATTTCAACCCCAAGAAATGTCACTAGAAATCGATTTCCCAAGGGACCACGTTCTTCCCCCAAGGGACAACCTGAGGTCTATTCATTGATCGAGACGCCAGATGCCAGATGTGGAAATGATCACATTCTTGGGGGCTCGACCAATGAAAATCTATGGAAAATCACCATTTTTCATGGGACTCACTATTTCGACTGGGCCATTTTCCATAGCTATGTTAGTTTACCAGAGGGTAAGTGATTTCTGGTGGCTCTACCAACCAAAATGAACCAAGAGGTGGAGATTCAACAAGTAATTCAGCGAGCATTAAAAACAAAATGGATCCCCGCAAGAAAATTTGTGATTTACTCAGCTGCCAGGGGATCCAACCAGGCAAAGTTCAAATTCATCGAACAAAAAAATTGATTCATGTGGTACCCTCTGGTAATTTAACATAGCTATTGAAAATTGCCATTTAAAGTGGATTTTCCCATTAAAAATGGTGATTTTCCATTGTTATGTTAGTTCACCGGAGGGTAAACCCAATCATATACCTACCATTTGGGGATGGTTTATATATAGCACCCATGGTTTATGTTGATTTGGGGGATGGTTTAAAACATTGGGTTTCCCACATTAGACAGGAAAGAATATACATATATTCATCCAAAAACACATGTGGATATGACCAACAAAGACTTGGATGAGACCGGAGAAGGAAAACTGGGCAACACATCGAAATCGATCTAGCTATTAGAAACAAAATATCCAACTACAAACTATCTTTAGCAAAAAAAATGAAAAACTGACAACAGCAAGACAAAAAAAATGCGAAACCCAACAAATCCAACCCCTCCAATAAATTGGAGGCTTTTTTATTTCGTGATGCCCGGCGGGGCGGAACTCTACCTGCGCTTGCTTCTTCGCTAAGTCGTAGCACTCATCGCCTGTCATGGAACTCAGACAGATGGCTTGGTCTATGGTTTGACCCAGAGCCGTTACAGACGGGCAGTTGAGGTTACAGTTTGCTATTCAAAATGACCATAGAAATAGTGGATTTTCCCATGAAACATGGTGATTTTCCACTTCGTCATGTAAACGTTTGCCAGAGGGTACTGATTTTATGCTTATAACCACGGAAATTCACCCATGTTTGTTGGGATATGGAGCCATGAAATAACTATCACTATGCATCTATAAACAAGGGGCAAAGCCCTGTACATCTTAATCGGATCGAAAAATGTAACCCACTGATAATTTGAATTTACAGCATGATGGGTAACAATCGGATAGAAATCAAAAATGATGTGAGTACAGTTCGTCGGCCACCACATTGAGGAGCAACTGCAAGGGGAGGGGTATGACCAGGTACAGTTGTTCCATTGACTTCACCATCCAATTCATTGTGTTTCCACCATTTTTTGAATCCAAAACAACCATCTTCCGTGAAATGACAGAGTCTGGCTCTCCCAATTGGCTTCCAGCCATGGCAGAAAACCAAGTGGCTCCAAGCCAGGTCCGGCACACCATGCTGCCGCCGCGCGATGTTATGTGCTTCCAAGGTGTTCTCCTTCCAGTGACTCCAAGTGCCTCGCAAGTGATACCATGATCCCCCGGACAGGAACCTGTGGAGGTTGACCCCCGTTGGTGATTTCATGGGAAATTCACCAGTTCTTAGAGGTACCAGGAAAAATGTTGGCATTGCGGCATGATAAATATGAGGATCTCATAGGTTTTTCTGAAAATCACATGGGATCTCAGTTTGGCTCAGGATTAACCATGGACAGGAAACGGGAAGCCTGATGGATAGTGCAGCTGTGCCTTTTTCATCTTTGTCTCGTTGGGTTTCTGCTATTGCAAGCCCCAAAATGATGCGCTGAAGTCACTAATATCCCAGTAAAATAATGGAAAATCACTATTTACACTATCTTTTGCGATATTGCAGTAAGATAAAGCCACAAAAAGATAAAGCAAATCACTTTTCTATCTTCTTGTGGCTTTATCTTTTTACACTGTTTACACTATTTAAAAAAAAAAACACTATTCTACAATGACAATAAAATGGAGAGCCACAAGAGTCAGTGGGCACTTGGTTGGTGGATCTTCATCCAAAAAGGGTCGTTTTACGACGGAAAATCCCCGATCAAGCCATGGAGAGTTTACGACTGAAAAATGATGGATCAAAATAGGGAATTTTCGAACAAGCCATGTTTGATTACCCCGGGTATTTGCAAATATATGTATATATACAATATATATATATATCATGATATATCATAGTTTATGACCAATACACTTGGAGCACGTTGGAGATGTCCAAGAAGGAATGAAATAGGAGGTGCGCAACCGTCACAGCTGATCATTTGACTAGCGGAATGGTCATCCTGCGCGGTGATTAATATCCTGCACAACTGCTATCAACATTCCCAACAGGAACAACATGTCATTGCCAATGAAGCATTGTTCTTGCGTGCACTGTTCAACTTGAGTATTCAGATGTTCTCCACATCAGGGTCTGAGAACGTGTCCTTAAGTTCTTCAAACTTCAATGATCAATTTTGGGGACAAGCAACAGCCAAGTTGCCAAAATTTTGGGAAAGTAAGACGCAACAGCATAAGGAAAACATATGTACCAAACAAACACATGTTAAACAAAACGCCTAAAAAATTGTCCTTGTCTAGCCATGAAGCCATCTAGCCCAGCTTGAAACCTCACCCCGTAATGGTCGGAATCTGGTTGTGACCAATCCCCCGGTCCACAGGTCATAACTAAAAATAACACCAGTTGTTCCAACATCTAAGTTCTTTGGGTACCCTCTGGCAAACGTTTACATAGCTATGGAAAATCAGTATGTTTAATGGGAAAATCCACTATTTCTATGGCCATTTTCAAAAGCTATGTAACAAATTACCAGAGGGTAATGAACATGTGGGGATGGGTCAAAACCCTATCCCCCTGGTGAACATCAAAATAGCTGGTAAATGGATGTTCATCCCCCTAAAAATGGTATGTATAGGTATTGATCCATACCCACATCTAAGTTCTTTGGGTAATGAACATGTGAATAACCCCGAATTTTGGGAACTCAAAAAAAATCATCACAAATCCCAAAAAACCAGGATCTCGAGGAGTAAGAAAGACATCAGCAGCAACCCAGGCGGCTCGAGGGTTGGATTCTCCGTTGGCTTCGATCATGCGGCGTAGCTATAGTTTTGCATAGCCATATGACCACAATCCATGGAGATCATGATCAAAAACCATGAGTGATATGCCTATGATACGCACCATGTTTATTCAAAAAGCCCTATAAAAATGATTGTTAGATTCTGAAACACTCACAAAATCATACAGATCATACAGGCCTTTGCGAAAAAAAAATGGTGAGATCCACAACCAAGGTACCATATTTTGTCTCTGGCCAATGGGCAGTAGAACCCACCTCTTCATGGCTGGTTTCTGTGTCAGCCAAGCTTTCCGTGGAAATCTTTGCCACAGCCACCTGATTCAGGGTGCCCGCAAACGTGATTCAGATTGCTTGGTTGAATTGGCTTTGAATCAACCAAAAAAGGTGACTTATTGGTGACTTCAAAAAGGCGTAAAAAATGTTATTTAGTGGGTTTTCGATCGGATTTGACCATATGTTTTTGTTGGTTTGTTCGCGGCATTAACTATAGAATACTATAGACTATAGACTCTATAGACTACATACATACATATATATATATATACCTATACCTATACCTATACAGATACCTTTACCTAGACCTATACATATACCTATACATATACATATACATATACATATTCATATACCTATACATAATGTACCTATACATATACCTATACATATACATACACATATACCTATACATATACTTATACATATACATTTACATATACATATACATATACCTATACATATACCTATAAATTTACATATACCTATACATATACCTATACCTATACATATACATATACCTATACCTATACATATACATATACATATGCATATACATATACATATTCATATACCTATACGCCTATACATATACCTATACATATACATACATATACATATACATATACATATACATATACCTATACATATACCTATACATTTACATATACCTATACATACATACATATACATTTACATATACATATACATATACCTATACATATACCTATACATATACCTATACCTATACATATACCTATACATATACATATACATATACCTATACATATACATATACCTATACATATACCTATACATATACATATACATATACCTATACATATACCTATACATATACCTTTACATATACATATACCTATACATATACATATACACATACATATACATATACCTATACATATACATATACCTATACATATACATATTCATATACCTATACATAGACCTATACAAATACAAATACATATACATACACATATCTCGTCTCTGACAACACGGCAGTAGAACCCACCTCTTCATGGCTGGTTTCTGTGTCAGCCAAGCTTTCCGTGGAAATTTTTGCCACAGCCACCTGATTCAGGGTGCCCGCAAACGTGATTCAGATTGCTTGGTTTAATTGGCTTTGAATCAACCAAAAAAGGTGACTCATGGTGGCTCCAAAAAGGCGTAAAAAATATTATTTAGTTGGTTTTCGATCGGATTTGACCATATGTTTTTGTTGGTTTGTTCGCGGCATTAACTATAGAATACTATAGACTCTATAGACTTCATATACATATATATATATACCTATACCTATACCTATACATATACATTCACATACACATACACTGCATAAATCCATATAGCATATAGATTCAACGCACCCATTCCCGATGCCCCTGATTTCCTAGCTGAAGCCATCAGGCTTCCCAGCCATGGGCGCTTCGCAGGAATAAATTGGAAAACTATGATACCCTCTGGTAAACGTTTACATAACTATGGAAAATCACAATTTTTAATGGGAAAACTCACTTTTCCTATGGAAAATCACCATGTTTCCTGGGAAAACTCACTATCTCTATGGAAAGTCACCATTTTTAATGGGAAAACTCACTATAACTATAGAAAATCAGCATTTTTAATGGGAAAACTCATTATAACTATGGAAAATCACCATTTTTAATGGGAAAACTCATTATAACTATGGAAAATCACCATTTTTAATGGGTAAATCAACTATATAAATGGCCATTTTCTATGTCGCAAACTGTTAGTTTACCAGAGGGTAAATTCTGCTCAACCGTGGGGAGTTTAGGGGTCCCAATTTTTTTCCGACCCACACCAAAAAATCGTAGCTCCAAGCATGGGACCACGGAGAGGACCAACCCTTGCCACGAAAAGGCGAACTATCCACGGATCCCAAGGATTTTTCCTGGTTTTGTTAGTGGAATAAGCAGGTTTAATCACACTTAAACTGGGGTGAACTAACCAACTTTCGAAGGATGAACTAACCAGGTGCCATCATTCCAAAAACCATCACTGTTCAATCGGTTCACAGTGGAAAACTGCCTCAACCAGAAGCCTTTTCCCCCCGCCTTTCCGTACATCACGAAATCAATGAACTCTTCCAACTCCACGACCCCATTCTGATTCCTGGGATGCCATGTCGACCCATGTCGACCCAGGAATCACGCGCGACAAACAAAGCACAGGTGGAACTGAGATCCATATCTCTTAGACGATATAAACAACATCCATGTCACTGGAGATCTCACCATGGGAAACCTCGGAAAATCTCAGGATGTCAATGGGAAACGCCCCTTTGGGTGGGGAGAAGATGAAAACATGAAATTGTAACTTGCCAAACGGCTATTGGTGAGCAGCAAGTGGCTCAGAAACCATTCCAGGCCTGAGCAAAGACTGCGAAGTTCTCCCGACAATTTATCCCATTTCGCCGACGGGATTATTCGAACAGGGTTCAATTCCTGCCCAGATCCCCTAATTCTATTCCTATTATCTATCTATATGTGTATACATACATTTATATGTGTATATGTATATAAAGGGAGGGGCCTGTTGTGAGCGCCTATTTTTTGCATTTTTGAGAACGATGTTTTGCAAAAGATACCCAGCAGTTTTCTTTGCAAAATCAAACGTTGTTGTTTCTGCAACAATAGCAACCACTGTGCAGTCCCAATTGCTCTCCCGGGCCATGCATAGATACATACCCAAAACAAACATGAATAGTAGATAAAAACAACAAAACAAACAAATGCAAAAGGCCTGCGCAAAAAGCGCAAAATTGTTTTGAAAATGTATAGGTTCTACATCTCTACAGGGGTTTCCCTCAACATACGCAATTGTTCTTTAAACATGTGCATTCTAAACAGGCACCGATTCATGCAATATGTTCTGTATAAAATTGGTAGGAAATAAATTTTGCAAACAACACTTGTAAAATGACTTTGCATAAAGAACACCATTCCTCAGTGTATGCAACAACCCTTTGCAACAAGTGCGGCATTGTTTGAAAGATAGGTAGCATTTCAAACATGTGCATTTTAAACAGGCACCAATTGTATCTGCACCGCAACCCTCCGGAACCTCACCAAGCATCTTCTCAGGAAACTTCCGGAACCTCACCAGGTATCTGCGCCAAAACCCCTCCCGAACCTTGCAAGGTCTCTGCACCAGAACCTTCTGGAACCTCACAAGGTATCTGCCCGGAACCCTCTGCACCGGAACCCTCCGGAACTGCACGGAACCCTCCGGAACCTCACCGGCTATCTGCACCGGAACCCTCTGCACCGGAACCGCACCAGGTATCTGCACCGGAACCCTCCAGAACCTTGTCCGGAACCTGCTGAAGCTGCGTCACCAGATCGCACCGGAGCTAATCTGGGCTAAAGACCCCATAGCAAAGTTTTGCTGTTGGGGAAAAACCAAAGATTTGGCAACTAGTCCAGATTGTTTTTTTTGCGGGGGAGGTTTTGTAACCATCGAAGCAAACAAAACGCCGACAAATGCCCATAGCGTAGGCAATTCTTAAACAATCGAAGCTAGGCAATTCACAAATTTTACAAACCCAAAGTGGTGTATCTCACTTACAGAGGCTGTTGTGAACAAAACACATCAAAAAATGTCCCCAAAATGTTGTTTTTTAGCGCTCACAACACCCCTTTCTGTATATATATATATATGTCTATATATATATATGTCTATATATATATGTCTATATATATATACATACATATATGCATATTTTATATATATATATAATATTATCAAATATTTATACGTAGATATATATATATATTGTATACTATATACAAATTGATTGGCTTGCTGAATGATTGTAATTGTATGTCAAAATGAAGTCTGCTTTGAGACTCTTTGGTACTTAAGTCGCACCAGAGGACACGCGCCATGCGGTTTTCGAAAGTCAGTGGCTGCTGCATCCGGAGATCATACCATAAATATCTACAGAAACAGGAGCTGATCTTGGCAGAACTCTCACTACCATAGTCTTCAGATCCCCAGGCAACCACAGTTCCATCGGCCGAGATCACAACAAATGCACCACCTGTAGCCTGATTTTTGTTGCACGTTCCTGAGCTGATCTTGAATTGTGGAACAGTCACCACCTCGTTCTGGCTCACCCCAGGTGAGAACACCGATCCATCAGCCAAGATTGCGGCAAATGCTGCACGCTCTTTAATTGATTTTGAGCTTCAGCGCAATCACCACCGGTGTCTGAATTGCTCCAGCTAACCACCTGGTTGCCTCCACAGCGCACAATTGCTTACTTGGTTTCTTGCGCCACAGCCATTAGGGGCTCACCGTCTTGCACCCCTGGCCTCAAAAGACTCTTTGGGGCTGGTTAGGACATGTCCTTCCGCAGTAACCAGTTTCAGGAAGTCCTTTCTGAAAGTTCTCTGGGCAAGAAGTTTCAAGTCCCTCACTTTGGAGTGTTCAGGGAGCAGCAGAGTTTCCCTAGAACCACTCGGGAACGATACATCGACTTGAAGGTTTGGAAGGGGGCACCAAGCGAGCTTTCAGTGGGTCATAAGCCGCCAGGTTCACCCTATGTTTTTGCAGTCTCATCTCCCCATGGTCCCCATCCCCTATGCCCCCCATGGCCCCCTTCCGTCCCTTCCGTCCAGCGTCACATCGGCGGCGCAGAAGAGCTTCTGGCGTTGCCCTTGGGACAGCTGTGGCGCCAAGGTCTGCAGAAGCTCGTCCATCTCCTGGAAACTCAGCAGGCCATCCTGGTTGAGATCCAGCTCCTGGCAGGACGACGTCGCATCGCTTGAGGTGAAAAAAAATGGGATGAATGATATAGCAAGCTCCGCCCCAAAAAAATGGGAGCTGGTGAAATCCTATTTTTGGGTTAGTGATGAATTACTGTTTTATGCTTGTTGGGGGTTAGTGTGATGTTGATAGTTGGGGAAGATTTCAAACCACAGGTTTCCCCGTTCATTACAAATGACCAACGATGGATAAATTGGCCCATTTTAAGAAACCCTCATGCGATTCGATTGTGAAACGATTTTTTTCGCAAACAGCTGAGTAACGTGATAAACACAGTGCTCTAAAGTAGATCCAAGAACGAACCTTCCTGTGGGTTCTGAGGAAAACTATCCCCCATAGCGGTATATACCCAATATACCATAAACTCTCAAAATTGAGATGGTTTTCTATCCCGAGAATAAGGTGTCCGCATCATTATGTGGTAAGGAAAGGGAAATTAAGAAAAACATTCGTTACAATCGATCAAAGGCTCCGGTTGATCGTACCACAAATCAGAATGCTTTACATGTATCAGACCTCGCAAATGACAACTAGGATCCCTAGATCAGCTGTTCAATGGTGTCCGATTTTCGATTGCAGCCATCAGCAAGGGGGTTCTAAAATCAGTGGCTGACATACCTTCAAACACACCATCACCGCTTTGGCGGTGTTTAGATTGACCAACAGGTTTGCAACTTGTACAACCAACAACTATGGGATTTCTCACAGCCATCAGGAAATGGCCGTTCGTAAATGGTAAGATTTCTCCAAAATTCACCATCAAAAAGAGGGATTTCAGAAACTTTCACCGTTCACCGTTTCGTGTCACAGCTGTGTCCCCAACCCATGGAACCAAAGTTTGTTGGCGGTGGGTCCCAGCGTCCTTGAACTGCCTCTTGAGATTCTCTACCTGAGAGAAACTCAAGTCGGGTACCCAAAGAAATGTCAAAGGGGAAAAGAAAATCGTTTGGTTTAATGGTGATTTCATGGTGATTTAGCTGAGACAAACTGGGTAAACCGACCAGCGTGTGAGGATATAGTGCAAGGTGCTGCCCCAGTTTCGCCAGCTGGCTCGGGTGGCAAAGGTACATATCACCTTTCTTCCTGGGGTTTATAACTCCTAGGGTTAAAATGTCTATGCCAAGTGGGAATCATTTACCAGAAAAGACGTGCAAAGGTTGTGTTTTTGGTTACTTTTTATACTTATGTTCTTCTTTCAAATGATATTTGTGAGGTGCCAACATGATTTTCCCTGAAAAATGAAGTACCACAAAATCCATGGTTTACAAGTTAATTTTCCCTACTATAATTGTCATATTGAGGATTAATCCTCCCTTTTCAGGAGCCACATCAGACTCACATTGATGCGTCTGTATATCCACAACAAAAGACCTGAAAATCCCATCTGAAATCATCATATTTCTGGTGGAAATCATACGTGAAATCCAACGAAAATCTCCATGAAATCACCATTTTTCTCGGCAAAATCATCCAAAGTTGGCCCCGCTCCTGGCTCCGTCCCTCGCTCCCCACCTGATCATTTTTGGGCAATGCATCCCTAGCAGCTTTCACCGCGGCTTCGCTGGGGCGCTCCAGCAGCTTCCCATAGACGTCCACCAATGGCAATCCAAATTTGCCACCTGTGAAACTGTGAAAACGGGATGAATCTGGCTGATGTCATCTGGTTTCACAAGGTTGAAATTCTGGTGATTTTCCACCAACCATTTCATGATGATTTCATGGGATTGGGATTATCAGAGGGTACAATGAATATCAATGAATCACAAATCACAATGACAAGTGTTTTTCTTGGAAATCAGCTTTATTGGGTATTACATCCTCACTTTTGACCCTCAGTTAACCTTCATTTAATTTGGTATCATTTGTTGGAATCATCACGAATTCAAAGTGAACCACAGATTGGTCTTGGGAAAGAATGCCTTCAATCAATGGATTGGTTTAAGGGAAAATCTACAGGAAACCAAAGATTTTCCCATTAAATATGGGGGTTTCCTGTAAATTGTGCTTGAACCAACCCAATGATTGAAGGCATTCTTTCCGGCAGGGTAACTACAATTCTTAAGCTACACATGATGTTACTGTGACATGTTACTGTCTGTCCAGTTTCCACCATCTACTTCCTTTTTGTATCTTTTTGTCGTGTAGACAACATGATTTTGAACAAAAGTTCTGTGTATCCAAATTCATCCCATTCATTAAGGTCTGATTCCCAATCCATTTGAACAACAATTTGACCCCCTCTGGTTCTGGTTGGTCTGGTTGGTCACCCAACTGGTTAATCCATGTTAATCCCATTCCCCGAAGAGGGAAAACACCGTAAACACCCCTGAAATAGTTCCAAATATGTGTGTGAATGCCCCTATTAAACCATGGTTTCTTGGGGGTTTCGGTCCATTTTTTCGATGGATCTCCCTGGTACAAAATATCCAAATGGGACAAACCATCATCCCATGCCCCGCCTTTGAACCACTCAGTGGCGCGCAATTTGCGAAGCATTTCCGCCTTGTTGCTACCACTGTCGATATCTGCAAACCTGGCGGAACTGAAATATCAGCAGTTATGGTTTATCAACATCAACCTTGGAAAACCCAAACCCTTAGGCTGTTTCGTTTGGTTGGTACCATGTAAATAGTAAATAGCAAATTATGTTTTTTTGGGGTGAAAAAAATCAGCCAATTCAGGTCCCGGCACCTGTATTTGATCCCGTGGTGCTCGCAGCTTCCCCTGAAGCGCTTACAGGCACTGCAGCTCTCCCGGCCGTAGACCACCAATTCTGCCATTGCGTCGTGGACGGTGTGGCGTGGGCGCCTTGATCCCGGAGACCAAAATTGGAAGATTGGTCTGTTTGGAAGCCTTTGATGTCTGGGATTAGCACTTTGGGAACCAAATAGAACCAAAACTATGTTTTTCATGGGATAGTTTGGTATACACAGATGTTTCAATGTATCTGTTTCTAAATGCACGTTTGCGTGCGCGTGCAAGCCTTGACATGGCTGCCAGTCAGGATGCGCACGTTGTAAGGCTCAAAATTGAAAAAACTGTCTGCCAGATAGCCCCAACAAACGCGAGAGAGAGAAAAATAGACCGTGTCACATTTCACATGCGCGCATGTTTTCAAATCGATGTTTGATTTTTCTGGGATTGTGTAAATGTCAACTTCCAGCATTCAGCACGGGTTTGCTTTTTGCCCCGGAAACTTGGTCGTCCTCAGGCTATGCGCCATCACGCGCTCATGACTCAAGCAGTTGAATTTATTGGCAAATGGACTACGCATGACTACGCTAGTTCCACATCAAAAACAGAGAGATCAAGATAGATCAAGTGTTCAACTGCCAATGTTTTATTGAGTGCAATTATAACATAGATAAAGTATGATAAAGTCAACCACTTCAACTGCCATATTTGCCAACTGACTCAACTGCCGCCACTGCGACACGCGCAGTCACCCAAGAGACCTGCCGGTTCTCGGCGAAAACAGTCCCTGCAATCCCTCAGCTCACATCCTGCAAACGCCGCAACGCCGCAACGCCCAAACACACTCGGAACTAGAGCTTGGTTGAAAAAGAACCTAAATATCATCTTATATCAATAATTCCTGGCCCTATTTTTTGCTCAGTAAATCCACTGTTCTTGTTAACGCAGAAGTGCCCGAAGATTGCAAGGACATCATAAAGTGATGAACTTCTAGATTTTCTAGTGGAAACAGGTTCGTTGCAGTCTCAGTCTCCTTGTGTGCTTTTCGAAGTATGTGTGTGTGCGTGCGTGTCTTCACATGCATCAAAAACGCTGCAAGGGAACAATTGAATCATCATGTTTTGAGGTTAAAGTCAGTTATGTATTCCATTCCTCAACGATGCATTCAATACTCCGCACCTCTGAATCCAGTGCTGCCAATCCCTGGCAGTGCGAATGTCGCTTGATGGGCAGGAAAGTGCAACCACTGTGACCACAGAATTGAACACATGAATCGCTCAACTCCTTGAGCCTTGCGCTACCACATGTGACTCATATGTAGCGCAGCCAATTACAGAAAACCCCAACCAAAACGCTCTGCAAGCAGCGGTCAGTATACCCATCAGTCAGCTTGGGCTGACCTCTTGAGACTCTTGAGGTTCAACGCGGGACCTCAGTTTTCTTCTCTGACCAATCAAATCAATCCAGGAAATCATAGACAAACACCAGGAAAATTAAGGAAATGCGCAAAGAAACGGAGCAAAATGTGGGCTTCGGAATTTGATGTATTTTACGTTGTTTCTAAAAAGATGAAGCAGCCAAGTGCCTTTGCCTCAAAACTGTTGAGTGCCCATGCAACCAGCAAGCACTGCCCCTGATACTGTCTTACCACTCTAAATTCTGTGAAGCGCTGGATTGTTTTGCAGGAAGCCATACTTTCACATCCCCACAACCGTTGGAGAAGTCTAGAATCTTTCCGTTGAACCTGGAGAACTTAATTTCGCGAAGTTCAAAATCCGAGAAGCAAGTCTTCACGCTGCAATTTTTTGATGATCTCCTGTGCACAGCATGCCGATGCCGTGGCGAAAGAGCATCATGATGTGGCGGCCGGTGGCTGAAAAGAAAAATTGTTCCAAGAGGTTTGAAAGGTTGAATAGCCTTCTTTCAATCTGGCGCCCCTGAAAATGGTCCCCTGTGATTATCTTAATCATGTATTCTTGCGCTTGGATTTCAAAAAGTTAGACTGAAACGAGTTTCCTTGTGATTGCAACCTTGCATGGTCTCAGGTTGATGCCCTGTCCTGCAGCTTTTCCTGTTCATCAGAGCTGGACGCCTGAGCACATCAATTTGTAACAGCAAAAGGTCAGACATACATACATATATTCTATATATATATAGTCACGATCTTGTAGATAGAAAATTCCCGTGCGACACGATTTTTCGTGATCTAGCAGATAGAAATTTTCAATGAAAAATCTCAATTCCGCGTATCTATATATATATATATACGGTTTTGTGCGACTCTACTCCTGAACAACATGAGATAGAAAATTACGAGAAAAAAAACAAAAAAGGGGTTAAAACATCACAAAACCATACATATATATATATATACGTAATCTTGACTTTTATAAAGGCAAAGTTGCAACTCATTTTACCGGGGCATTTTTTCGTATATATATATGCGAAACCTCGATTTATGATAAACTTTCTTCACAGATAGAATGGGACTATTTTTTTTCTTATCATAAATTTCTATATTTAAAAAATGACAGATAGAAAATTTATAGATTGTATATATATATATACAAGTATTACGTAAAGTATTTTCGGACACCTTTATATATATATACCGTTTGCTTGTTTTTTTTTGGTGTGTGTATTATATATAGATTTGAAATCCAATATTGAGAAATAAGTTGATTCCAAAAAAGGATGTCGACTTAAATTGAAATCTATTTTGATTAAATGTCAATCCTCATAAAATCAAATCTAGAGTAATCTCGATTCAATTTCAACATACTTTGGACGTAATTTGCAATTGGGATGCAAAGGTTATAATGTAAGAGTGTAAGAGTGAGTGTTCGGCTTTACACCAAGATTGACCATCTGAAATGCGTGTTTTTACACGGCTACGACATAAATATAGCTACATCACATCATATATATATGTAGATATTAGATATATATATATATATAAACCTATATACATACTCGCAACTTCAACTGTAGATGAATTTGTGACCACAATTTCTTACTTCTCTAGTTTTTTGCAATATTTAGATCACTGTTCCTGGAAATGGTTGTCCAGGATGTCGGCAAATGTGGGCGACAATTGGTTTCATCAATTGTTCAATCTATTTCACGATTTTGGCAAGGTTTTTGTGCAGTTTTACGTTGGGAGTAAACAATTTCCAACATATCTCAGCATCTTACCATTGATTTTCTGCAGTTGTCCAACCTATTTCATGATTGTACCATTGTTTTCTTTCAATTTCCAACCTATTTCAGTGAAAATGTATCATAGTATTACATACATACATACATACATAACATAACATAACATTACATTACATTACATTACATTACATTACATTACATTACATACATACATACACACATACACACACACATACACACATACATACCTACATACCTACATACCTACATACCTACATACCTACATACCTACATACCTACATACCTACATACCTACATACCTACATACCTACGTACTACATACCTACACACCTACATACCTACGTACGTACGTACATACCTACATACCTACGTACTACATACCTACACACCTACATACCTACCTACCTACCTACCTACGTACGTACGTACGTAGGTACGTAGGTCTGTAGGTCTATAGGTCTGTAGGTCTGTAGGTCTGTATGTATGTATGTATGTATGTATGTATGTATGTATGTATGTATGCATATATGTATTTACAGAATGTATAGAAATAAGTATATGTATATACACACATGGTTTTACCGTGTCCATCTCTGTATGCTATATTATATGTATATCCGTATATAATCAATATAGGACAGAAAAGCATGTTTCCGTTTTTGAAAATACTTTGTCCGAAAAACATCTATATAAGGTTTTTAGACGAAAAGTTGTAGCCGAGTATGATGCAAGACCATTCACACTTTTCCGATTTCCATCAAGTCGTCCCAACTCATGTTTTCCATTTGCATACTGCACTGCTTTACGGCAAGGAATACCGTCCAAATACATAAGAGCCCACGCTTTTGCATGAAGGGAGAGATGAGAACAGAAGAGAGTGCGGTAGCTAAAATCAAGGTCGCAAAAGGCAATTGTTTTCTCGTTTTATCAAGGAGCTGAGCACGCTGGCCTCTGTAAAATTCAATATTGAGAAAGAAGTTGATTCGAAAAAACATGTCGACTTAAATTGAAATCTGTTTTGACTAAATTTGAAACCTAATGAAATCAACTCTAAAGTAATGTCGATTCAAATCTAAACGTGATTCGTATGTAATTCGAACTTGGTTTGTGTAAATCTTGTGGAATGTGAATTAGTTAAAAGCAAGAAACGTTTCTGAACGAAGAATGAGAAAATACATGGGAACAACCAACATTAAATCAACATAAGAACAAAACAATGCAAAACACATGGAAATATATATATAACTGTATATATATATATGTTCACACCTTATTTCTCCATGCTGTCATACATGTTGATCAATATTATTCCGTTTTTCCATTAGTTCACCAGGAGATTTCATCAGTTTGCCTCACCTACTTGATCATTTTATAGAAGGATTTGATCAGTTTTCCAAACCTATTTGATAAATTTATCAAGAAAAGAAACATGTTTCCCCCCTATTTGTTAATGTTATCATTTGGTTTCATAAGCTGTCCCAAGTTTTCCCAATCTATTTCTCCAGTTGATCATTACAGTTTTTCTGCAGTTCTCCAAAGTTTTCTCAACCTATTGGTGCATGTTATCATTGGGTTTCATCAGTTTTTCCCACTGATTTATTGAGCTTATCATGATGTTTCATGAATTTTGGTTGTCCGTTCCTTCATTGTATCTTTAGATTTCATCAATCTTCTTCAAAACAGTTTTCATTGTACCGTTCATGTTCATCAGTTTTCTCCCACCTACTTGTGTTTTTTATCACTAGTCACTAGATTTTATCCGTTTTCCCCAACTACTTGTTCATCTTATCATTGGCATTCATCATTTTTATCCATCCATTCCTTGATTTTATCTTGAGATTTCAATCAGTTTTCCCCACCTATTTGTTCATCTTCTCACTCGGTTTCATCAGTTTTCCCCACCTCCTGGCTCATTTAATCACTGGATTTCATTGGTGTTCTCCATTTCTTCCTTTTATCCGTGGATTTCATCATGTTCCCGTCCTATTGCAATGTGTGTATTATGCATTATCTTTACCTAGTTTCTCTATAATTTCAAGTATCTAAAAACATGCTGCTGAATGACATAGAGACAAGGACATAAGACTCGAATACATTCTGGATACAAATCCCAGAAGGAAAAAAAATCCCCGAGCATGTTGATTCTGATGGTTCTCCATTTCAAAACAACACAAAAATCACAGATAGAAAATTGTTAATGTGTGCCATGTATGTGTTTCGAAGTCTTTATCTAAATTTTGGACACGGCACACACCATATTCATATTATAGTGCATGTTGCTGTGTTCAATTCTTTACTTCAATTTGAGATCGCAATGTTTGATTTCCCTTTACAGTTTTTCACATGTGCAAGCATTCGCACATCTGTATTTTTGAGGCACACAACAATATCACTCATATATATAATATTTATTTAATATAATGTGTATATATGTATATATATATGATTATATATGTTGCAATATACTATAACTATATTAAATATAAATTATTTTATATATATAACATATATAAGGTGAAAAACAGGGTGTGAGAAATTCTGTCATTTCGGTTCGTGCCATTTAGCACGATTCTAAGTCGAGTGTATGCAAACTGCCGGTACTTTCCTCTGTTTTTGCGGGTTTGCCAGGTTTGCCGGGTTTGCCGGAGTTTGCTGGGTTTGCCGGGTTTGCCGGTGTTCGCTGAGTTTTGTCAGGTTTGCCGAGGTTTACTGGTGGCATTAGGCCCAAGTGACATAGAGCAGATTCCTATCTTAAGTTCATTCCCTTCCATGGTGAGCGATAGAAAAACGGCCCTGCTAAACTGCTAGTAAGTGTCAAACACATATGTGAATATATATATATATATATTTACTTGCTTTGAACCAAATATACTGCAGTAAGACTTGGTGGTTCTAAGTCAGCTGCTGTAATGAAAATGAAAATCTATACATATATGTACAGATGACTTCCACATAATGCTATACAAGGTTGCATTCTTTCCGTATACGAATACAACCGTCTGCCGCGTCCAGACCTGCGTTGAGATTTATTTATTGTTTGGTTCGATTGTTTTCACATTTTCGAAGTTGTACAACGTTCAACAAAGTTGTACAACAATGAACTGATAGTTCATGATATAGTCAATATATATATAGGGAGAGAGGTCCAACAATGAACTAGAAAAGGCATGTATCAAAAACAGTGTTCCTGGATGGATTACTTTTGTGCTCTGGTGTTGATATCGGAGGCAAAGGTTGTATATATGTATATATCATTTTTGGCAGTGTCTTTACATAGTCTTTATTGCGATATATGTTTTCATCAATTTTGATCATGTGTAATTGTTTTATTTTTAGGTTCAATTATGTATATATATATATATATATGTATATATATCATTATAAATCTGTAGTTGCCCCTCCCCAAGTAGTATTTTGTTTCAAAGAGATCCGAAAACTCCCTCAAGAAGATCATCAAACCTGCGATGCAAAATCCCTATATCAGTTTTGACACTGCAAATGCCATTTTGCATTCAACAAATACCTGAACTATTAATGCAGGAAATAATGTATGCTATGCATACCGTGTCTGCGCCTTGCCACGGAACAACACTGCACCCTGCCACAAAAGGGGTTAAATGGTAATGGGAAGGTTTATTTAATAATTCACGAGCTCGAGACCCACACTCTGGCTGAAGTCGACGAGGAACTGCTCAGGGGGGTAACGGGGTTTGGTGGGTGGGTTTCCTTACTATATCAAAATATTTCATCAAATAAATAAATAAATAAATAAATGAATAAATAAATGAATATGTATATATATATATATCATTCAAACAAATCAAATATGTTTCAAGAAATCTATATACATACAAAACATCAAAAAAGGGGAAAACCTGAAAGTGCGAAGCACTGAAAAATATTTATGTCAAT